TCAGATTATGATGGGGAAGGTGAGGGATGGAGATTTGCTGTTTAAAAAGTTATCATTGTGACTGTAATGTATAGTTTAAGAACCACTACACTTAACATCTTGGTCCTACAGGAACAGCAGAATAGGAGGTGAAATTCAAGGCAGGTCACTTTGTTCTAAATTAGGCCACTAACCAAAATGTCCACATACTGTGAAGGGAGTAAGTAGAGTGACTAACTTGTCTTGGTTTGCTAGGGATTCCCCAATTTTAGTATTGAAAGTCCTGCATGTTGGGAAATGTTAGTCCCAGAAAATCAAGATGGCTAGTCATCCCTACCAGTCATATATTACAAAATTTAATTATCTGCAATAGCCTTTTTTTTTTTTTTGGCTGTGCTGTGCAGCATAAGGATCTTAGTTCCCCAAACAGGGATGGAACTCATGCATGTCTTGAGTTCATGGCATTTTTTTTTTTTTTAATTTTGGCCACACCATCTTCATTACTGAGTAGGCTTTTCTCTGGTTGCAGCAAGCAGTGGCTACTCAGTAGTTGTCTGGTGCTCAGGCTTCTCATTGTGATGGCGTCTGCTGTAGAGCGTGGGATCTAAGGCATGTGGGCTCAAAAATTGCAGCTTGCAGGCTCTGAGTGCAGACTCAATAGTTGTGGCGCATGAGCTTAGTAGCTCTATGGCATATGGGATCTTCCCAGATCATGGATCGAACTTGTGTCTTCTGCACTGGCAGGCAGATTCTTTACCAGCGAGCCACCAGGGAAGCCTGGGAGTGTGGAGTCTTAACCACTGGACCACCAGGAAGTCCCTGCAATAGCCTTTTTATAATTTAAAAGTCCTAGTGCTCCTGAAAACTAGAGCACAATAGGGAGGTGGTATTTCTATGTATTCCAGTATAGCTTTGCTATAAGAAGTCCAAATATATCCAGAAACATTCTTTGCTTTTCAATGAATAAGCTATCAGTAGTTCTCACATTCTTACTTCACAGAGCCTTTAGTTTTGGAGAAATTTTAAAAGGGTGCCCTATCCTTTATTTATCTCCATACCTCCTGTCAAATGATGGGTGCCACTTTTTAACCATTGAGGTCCTAATAACAAAATTTTAAAAAATGTGTAAATTACTTTTATTGCATCCTTAAATAATTACTAATTGAGGTTGTATTCATCTGCTGGCCTCTATGTAACTTACCAAATCTTGGAATCAGATTGAACACTATCAACTCATATCCATACAGAATTTCATATGGTATTTGCTTTTTATCACAGCAACCTTTGAAAACCCAGCTTCAAAAATACATATCTTCTAAAGCTATGTCACATAATCTAATGTTGAAACTGAACAACCTTGGGGTATAAGTGCCAGTGGTTCTGACAAGGTGTCAAGTACTGCTATTTTCCTTGAAAACTTAAAATGTCCCACAATGCATCTGCGTTCACAGTGCTGCCACAGGGCATCTATGATCAGTTTGGGAACTGTGGTTCCGTAGACATTTAATTCTGTCAGGCAACTACTGCATGAAAATATTCAAATGAATAGACAACCTTAATGTTCTTTTGACATTTTGTAAGAAGCCTGTAAAATCTCTCTGGAATAATTCCGTGAAACTTATTCAAGTTTAAAGATATCATCAACATAAATGTTTTGTTCATAACTGTCTTAAAGAATCTGCCTGTGACATTTCTGGTTAGCAGGTCATACTGAAATATCCCAGGCAGTGATCCTAAAGCACTATCTTTAAAAAATAATTAATTTTAATTGGAGGATAATTACTTTACCATATTGTGGTGGTTTTTTTCCCATACATCAACATGAACCACCCATAAGTGCACGTGTGCCCTATCCTGAAACCCCCTCCCCACCCCATCCCTCTGGGTTGTCCCAGAACATTGGCAGTGAGTGCCCTGCTTCATGCATCGAGCTTGCCCTGGTCATCTATTTTATAGATGGTAATATACATGTTTCAATTAAAGCGCTAGTCTTGCTGGAAACTTGTTAGGGTCAGGTTTGGGCAGAAAAGAGTAAGAAACCACTGGTCTGATGGACTGTGTTGTTAAAAATATCTCTAAATATCACTATCAGTTTTCTTCCATTAACATCCACTGATGACTTCTGAAAACTGTCATAGGAAGGACAATTAATATGGTCTTCAGTGGTGCTCAGTCCACTCATAACACTACCAGAGATAGTTCATTATTCTAGATAGTTGTCTGACATACAAGGTATTTTTTAAAAATTGATGCATAATTAATGTACAATAAAATACACAGATCTTTGGCTTTCTCTTTGAATGTATTCCTACCTAACTTCTTTCATTTAATGACGTTTTCAAGTATACTTATTGCATACAATAGTTTATTTCTAATGTTGAGTAGTTTTCCATTGTATGAATCTAAAACTCTATCCATTTTGGTTACAGTTTGGGGCTATAATTAATAAGGCTCCTATTAACACTCTTATATAAGATTTTCTTATGAACATATTTTTATTTTCTTAGGTAAATACACCTAAGAGTGACACTGTTGAGTTGTATGGTTAGTAAATGTTTAATAAATTGATGAACAGTTTTCCAACGCAGTTTTTCCATTTTACACTTCCATCTGCGACCTAGGAGTGTTCCAATGGCTTCACATTCTTGGCATCATTTGTTGATATTAGTCTTTTTCAGTCATTCTAGTGGATGTGAACTGGTGTATCATTGTAGTTTTAATTTGTATTTCCCAGCAGACCTAAGATGTAGAATACTTAAAAAAAAATTTATTTATTTTTAAATGAAACAAAGATGAATATTTTTAATGATAAAAGGTACAATTCACAAAGATGATATACATCATAAATCATGAGACACCTAACAAGAAAGAAACAAATATATATAAAGCAAAAATCAGAATAAATTTAAGGGAAAAGAAAAAATATATATAATCTAATCATAGTGAGACATATTAACATTTCTCTGAGACTATTTTATCAGGTGTATTAAAAATAAGAATGGGAGCATCTTGAATGATGTCATTAATAATTTAAATATATTTCTATTAATTTATATTAACCTTATATCCTACACAAATATATTTAAAATTTTGTATCTCATATGCTGTTATCAGATGTCCATAGGACATTTAGAAAAATTGGCAAAAAGATAAATATTACTAAATTTCAAAAAGTAGCTGTTTTTTTGTGATTCAGTTATACATATACATACATGTTACTTTTGAAATTATTTTCCATTATAGGTTATTATAAGATAGTTCCCTGTGCTATACAGTAAACCTTTGTTGCTTATCTATTTTTTTTAATTAGAAATGTAGCACTCTATTCATACTAAGTCAAACAAATAGAATCAAAATGTCATAAATTTTTTAGTTAGGCAAAAATTAGTAAGTTTTCTAAAATATATATACTATACATACTATATATATGTATACAAAAGTTTCTCTACTACAATATTAGGCTTGATAAAGAACATCAAAAAAAAAAGAATAACTGGAAAACTAAATGAAATGGGAGCACTAAATATGAAATAGAAAAAGTGAAACAAACTAGATAAAAGATCCTCATACAGTCCAGCTGTTTTTAAACATGGCTGCTCATCAGAAACATATCTGGAGCTCTGGTGAAAAAATAATAACTGAGTATTTGTATTTTTCAAAAAATTCCAAAATAATTCTGATATGCATATGGATTTTAAAAAGTGATTACAGATTTTCTATTAAACACTTGCTTTGGTGATACAGAATTCTATTCTTCAGTTGACCAATCATGATACAATGGTATTAAGTAACAGTTACATAATCACTACAGTCAAAGATGTTTATCAGTTTTCACAATCAGTAGCCAGACAAAAAATAAAAGATAATTACAACTGCAAGTCATAATAGGAATATGATTAACCTAACAATATAAAATAATTAATAAAAACTGGGGGGGTCAAGCAGAGTGATATGGTAAGTGGAAGTGCATACATGCACATATTTTCATCTACCTAGTCAGTCTATGTCTTTTGGTTGGTGCATTTAATCCATTTACATTTAGGGTAATTGTCAATATGTATGATCCTATTACCATTTTCTTAATTGTTTTATGTTTATTTTCTGTAGGTAGGTTTTTTCCTTCTCTTGTTTCCTGCCTAGAGAATTTCCTTTAGTATTTGTTGTTGGTGTTCCTTTAGCCTTTGTTGGTTTGGTGGTTGAATTTGCTTAACTATTGCCTGTCTGGAAAGCTTTTGATTTCTCCATCAAATCTGAAGGAGAGTCTTGCTAGAGTATTCTCTGCTATAGGGTCTTTCCTTTCATCCCTTTAAATGTATCATGTTATTCCCTTCTGGCTTGTAGTTTCTGTTGAGAAATCAGCTGATAGCTTGATGGGAGTTCCCTTGTATGTTGTCATTTTCCCCTTGCTGCTTTTAATATTTCATCTCTGTCTTTGGTTATTGTCAGCTTGATTATGATGTGTCTTGGTGTGTTCTTGGGTTTATCCTTATGGGACTCTCTGTGTTTCCTGGACTTGACTATTTCCTTTCCCATGTTATGGAAGTTTTCAGCCATTACCTCTTCAAATATTTTCTCAGGTCCTTTCTCTCCTCTCCTTCTGGGACCCCTATAATGTGAATGTTGGTGCATTTAATGTTGTCCCAGAGGTCTCTTAGGTTGTCTTTTTTTGCCCCCTATATTCTGTTCTGAGGCAGGGATTTCCACCAATCTGTCCTCCAGGTCATTTATCCATTCTTCTGCCTCAGTTATTCTGCTATTGATCCCTTCCAGTGTATCATTCACCTCTGTTTGTTTGTTCTTTAGTTCTTCTAGGTCTTTGGTAAACATTTCTTTGCATTTTCTCAAGCTTTGCCTCCATTCTTTTTCTGAGATCCTAAAACATCTTCAATATCATTATTCTGAATTCTCTTTCTGGAAGGTTACCTATGTCCACTTCATCTAGTTGTTTTTCTGGGGTTTTATCTTATCCCTTCATCCAGGACATAACTTTCTGCTTTTTCTTGCTGATTAACTTTCTGTAATGTGGTTTGTTAGCCACTAGGGGACTGTGGTTCTTCTTGCGGCTTCTGTCTGCCCTCTAATGGAGGAGGTTAAGAGGCGTATGTAATCTTTCTGATGGGAGGGACTGATAGTGGGAAAAACTAGGTCTTTCTCTGGTAGGCAGGGTCTTGCTCAGTAAAGCTTTAATAGTTGCCTGCTGACTGGTGGGGCGGCACTCCCTCTCTGGGAGTTTTTTGGCCTGAGGTGACCCAGCTCCATGGTCGGGTTAATGGGGACCTTGAAGAGGGTTTACACCAGGGAGGGACCTTCCCAGACTGCTGCTGCCAGTGCCCCCATCCTGCGGTGAGCCCCTGCCGACCGACACCCCCACAAGAGACCCCCCAACACCAGCAAGTTGTTTTGGTCCAGCCTCCTGTGAGGTCACTGCTTCTTTCCTCTGAGTCTTGGTGAGTGCAAGGTTTTGTTTGTGCCCGCCAAGACTGGAGGTTCTCTTTTCCCCAGTCCTGTGGAAGTCTTGTAATCAAATCCCTCTGGCCCTCAAAGTCAGATTCCCTGGGGATTCCCAGTCCATTTATCAGGTCCCCAGGGTGGGAAGCCTGACATGTGGTTCAGAACCTTCAAAACAGTGGGAGAATTTCTTTGATATTACTGGTCTCCAGTTTATGGGACACCCACCTGGCGAGCATGGGATTTGACTTTTATCATGATTGTGCCCCTCTTTCCGTCCTGCTGTGGCTCTAAGGTGTAGAATACTTTTGAATAAATTTTAAATTTTAAAAAAGTCCAACTTATCCTTCTTTTTTTTCCCCCCAACTTATCCTTTTTTTCTTTTTTGGTTAGTGTCTTCTGTGCCCTACCCCATGAAATCTTTCATCTATTCCAGTGTCAAAGACAGTCTATGTTTCTCCTTGCAAGCTTTTGTCTCTAGGCTTTACATTTAGCTTTGATTCACCTGTGTGGGTGTGTAGAAAATAAGGGTTGAGGCTCATTCTGTTTCTTATTCAATTGTTCTACCAATATTGTTATACTCTCCTTTTCTGATATATTAACATGATACTGTGGTCAAAAATTGATTATGTATATTTAGGTCTGTTCCTGGACTCTTGATTTTGTTCCGCTGATGTATTAGTTTATTCTTATCCTAATACCAAAGACTTGATCATTGTAGCTTTATAGTAAGTCCTGAATTCAGAAAGAACAAGTCTTCCAATTTGTTGTTCTGTTTCAAGATAGTTTTGGCTATTTTTAGGTCTCTGTACATCTAGATAAACTTCAATTTTTATGTATTTTAATCAATCACTTTGTTCTTTTTTTTAAAAGTCTGATAGAATTTTGATAGGAATTGCATAACAATCGATATTAATCAATATAAGAAGAAGATACCTGAAACAGTACCTGAGTTTTCCAATTCATAAACATGATGTCTATCTTTTTATTTAGGTTTGTACATTTTTTTTCCCTCAGCAATTTGTGTACTACTCAGTGCACAGTCTTTCTATAGATTTATTCCTAGATATGTGATGTTTTTCAAGCCTACTGAAGTATTATTGCTTTAAAACTTGTTTCCACTTAGATCACTAGTATGTTCTTAGGCTTTGAGTTTTGTAAGATCTTGCTAAATTCAATTTTTTCTTTTTTTTTGGTAGAGTGCATAAGGTTTTCTATGTAAACAATCTTGTCACTTGAGAATAATGATTCAACTCTTGTGTTTTAACCCTTATGTCTTTTTCTTGACTGACTGCATGGTTAGGACCTACAGAACAATGCTGAACAGAAAAGGTGAGAGCAGACATCCTTGCATTAATATTTTACCATTAAGTATGATGATAAATATGGATGTTCTTTTACAGATGCTCTTTATTAAATAATTTATATTCCTGTTTTTGTACTGGGAGAGGGTGTTGAATTTTGTCCAGTGCTTTTCTGTAATCATTGGATGATCGTATGGTTTTCCTCTTTTATTCTGTTCATAGGTGAATTATACTGATTAAATTTCTAATGTTAAGCCGAACTTCTCTTCCTGGAATAAAACCTATTTGGTCATAATGTATTATTATTTTCCTTTTTATACATTGCTGGGTTCAGTTTGCTAGTATTTGAAGGACTTTTATTCCTATATTCATGAGGAATATTGGTCTATTTTCTTGTGATATCTTTTTCAGATTTCATATCACATATGGTATTTCTTAGAAGTCATCTACATAAAATAACACAACTGTTCTCAGGTATATTTTCATGGCCACTGGAAAGTTCCTAAAAGCCATATAAAAAAGTAAAAACAAAAAGGTAATTTATCTGATTCTGTAAAAATTTTACAGTCTTTAAGTGAACAAAAACCTGAAAAAATCCAGAGAAAGAACTGAGATGTGAGTTAAGCTGTTAACTCAAAGGCTTGTTTTTGTTAGCTGGCATTTCTCTTCTTCATTCCATTCCACTTCTTCATCCATTTCACAGTAACAAGAAAAAAAAAAAAAAGAACTCTGCATTGAGGATTAGGCAATCTCCACAAATGTTTTTGAATATCCTTAGTTACAGTATATGATGGATAAAAATCCTGAGATTCAAACCCCAAGCATAGTGAAATTTCAAAACTACTGGGAGTTTAAATCAATTTGCAGTTTTAAAAGTAGTTCTAATATTTTCAATTCTACAAAAAGCAAGAGAAATTCTCTACCTAAGTTAAAAATGTAAGGAATCATCTAACACACCTTTAATTACAAAGGCAAAAATCATAGGGAAATTTCAGGTGATGTACACTTTTAACGATAAAAAAGTACAAATTTAATACACAATAAAATATTTGCCACTTATATAAAAAATAAAGCTGTGTATAGATACATGTGCACATACTTTTTAAGTAGAGAAAAGTTCTGAAAGGATAACAAAGTGAAAACAGCAGTTGCCTCTGGGAATAATAATTGTGTAAGAAAACTTGACTTTTTTTAGCAATGGCTTGAATTTTCTAGATGAGATTCTGTTCTGTATAATTTGTGTAACTAAAATAAACTTTAAGAAACTGTTCATACCAGTGAATCACGAATCTTCACTATACTAGAAATCACATACCACTCTGCGAAAATTTATTACATGCAGCTTCAAAACTAGTGTTAATGATGTTAGAAGCCACACGCTCAAACTCTACATATAGAGTTCAAAGGCTGGTTCTTTATTCAAACTATTAAACCGGACATATAACCAACTTTTTCCTGATTTATCTTTTGGGCAACAATTTGCAGGATACATTTAAGACTTCCTGAAAGTTATTTAAACAAATAGATTTAAGAAAAATTATCAGTAAACTCACTGTGAAAAATGTTCTCAATTTCTTTTTGATTCAATGATCTTGCCTCACATTCTTAATCACACACATTTAAAAAAAATGAATCATATGTTCCGAATATTTAAAATACTTGTTTCCTCTCTAAGCCTATTACCAATGACACACAAAAAAAGCATAACAAAATACAGTAGTAACTATCGAACAAGCAATAACTTAGTACACCAAAATTCATACACAAATTTAAAGAAAACAGCAAATGAGGAAAACTGTAACACAGAATGGGCACAACATCAGTTACCTTTTTGTTTTGTTCTCATTTTTTGGCCATACCATGTGGCTTGTGGGATCTTAATTCCCTGACCAGGGGTCAAACCCATGCCCTCTGCAGTGAAAGTGCAGAGTCCTAACCACTGGACTGCCAAACCATCAGTATCTTTAAAATATAAAGCTCTTACAAATCCATAAAGAAAAAACAGATACTTCAAAAGAATTACAAATGACTAAGAAAACAAGTAGGCACTCTCTAATAGTCAATATAAATAATTAAAATAAGATTTTTTTTCACCTATTAAGTACAAATGAGTTAAAAAAAATACTGCTGGCAGAGATTCATTGGCTGTTCTCAGACTTGTGTTAGAACAATATACTGGTATAGATTCTGAAGCACAATCTGACAAGCATTAGTAGCTTTAAAATGCCTTAATCAGAATTCTTAATAAGTAATTCATTCCAATTAAGATTTTCATTTTAACTCACAAATGGGTTAAAAACAGAGATTGCTAAAATGAAGAGAACTAAAAGATGTTTTTATGGTTCAGGACAGAAGACTCACCAAAGCCAAAGCAGCTACAATAAGCTTCAAGTTCTTTCTTAAACTGGAAACGTCATCAGAAGAATCAAATGGAAATACATTAAACTCCTACTGTTCCTGTGTGTTTAATTTCTGCAAACACTCAAAAAGGGGAAGGTCAGTCTTTCATGATACCAGAAGGCAGAATATGGAGGGAATGGAAGGACAGAGTGCTATTCTTTTGGTTTAGGAAATTCTCTCCTCCATTACTGGGAATAAAGAAAAGGCAACACCTTTTTTTCTTTTTCTACAAGCAAAATAGCCAAGTGTGACTATATTAAAATCTCATTTTAGTACTTTCCTATAAAGTTTACTCAAATTCTTTAATTACTGATCTAAGATGGTCTAGGTGATATTCTTCTATGAAGGATTCTGCTTGATTCAAAGCTCTTATTTTCACCAGGATAAGAATTATTTCTTTGACTTCATCCCTGAAAAAAAACAACAAAAGGGCATTTTCCCTCTTAGAAATGCAATGTATAAAGGGCACAGTGAAACATCAGTAGTTAATCTGAAACAAACTTTACCTGATGCCAATATCTAAAATATATAGCATAAAGTATTTAGATGCTACCTTCTCCACATAATCATGAAATTCCACCAGAGATTATTAGTGGATATATTCTGGAAAATTTTAATGTGAATGACTATAAAAACATAGAAAAAGCACAGAAGAAATCTATCATTAGCAATCTGAGCAGTGTTGTGCGGCTATCAGCAGTTTATATGGACTATCAGGGTGGGAGTATTTATCCCACAGATATAATCAAATGCTGCAATTTGAGCGGTCATTTTGTTTGTGTTTTGAGGTGGTTTGCCAACACCATTGTATTCAAGTCTTTAAATATCTAGTGCTGTGAATGAGATCCAGCTGCTACTGGGTAAATGTCAGGTTGCAGATCTATACTTAACAAATGTTGAGATTTTGAAATGGCTAGGAAAATTAGAAAGACATTAAAAACATGCTTAAATAAAAGGCTTTTGACTTACAGTTTTAATTCTAAATTCCCCTGTGATATAGTTTTCTGGAAGTGCTTATTTTGGAAGAGATTTACATTTAAAAATATGAACTAATATGCCTGAGGTGTAAAAGTAAAATACTGAGTGGTTCTAAAGTTGCATATGAAAACATCTCCTAATTCTACAGTGACAGTCTCAGATTTTTAAATGTAAAGTACAAATCTTTCTAAAAATTGCCAAGAACAGAAGCCTAAACAACGCTTATGGAGGTACAAATAAAATATGCATTACCTGATTTCATTTCTAGATAATTTACGTGCAGACTGCAGTAAAAACTGGATGAAATTTTCTAGCTGGGGAATGGACGTTCTCATAGCAGAGTTTTGGAACCACTTTTCTGGTAAATATGCTGCTATCTGATAATCAAAACACATGGTTGATTTTTAATGACAGTTATTAACTAAGTACTTTAACATAATCTCATTTAATCCTTATACTACTCATGTTAAGATTCCTTGGAAGATCCCCTGGAGAAGGGAAAGGCTACCCACTTCAGTATTTTGGCCTGGAGAATTCCATGAACTGTATAGTCCATCGGGTCACAAAGAGTCAGACATGACTGAGCGACTTTGACATACACACTACTCACGTTGGTTGTATTATTCTTCCATTTTATAGTTCATGGTTAAATAACTTTAGGGAATTTCCCCTTTCTTTGTTAAGGTTTTATACTTAAAAAAAAAATCATATTTGTATACCGAAAGCTTAAAGGAGACTACTCTTTATAAATACTTACTAGTACTTGTAATACTTTCACTACTCTGTATTCCTGAGTGATTAAATTGTACAAAACATAATCTATACTAAACACCAGAAATGTGTAGACAGAAATCACTTAGTTAACAAACCTACATTTGGCCCTTTAACAATGCAGGGAGTTAGGGACAGTGACCTATGCGCAGATGAAAATCAGTGTATTAACTTTACAGTCGGTCCTCCATATCTGTGGCTCTGCATCCACAAGTTTAACCAACTGTGGATTGTGAAATACTCTAGTATGTACTGATATTTATTGAAAAAAAAATCCACATAGAAGTGGACCCATGCAGCTTAAATCTGTGCTATTCAAGGGTCAACCATATAAAATAGGTACGTTTAATGTGATTTCACAATATGAAATTAGATGACGTTGTGTATAACCTATATGAATAAATTAGAGTTAAGAAATAAAGGTCATTCTAAGATACACTGTATAAGAAATTTATCATAGCTTTCTTCTAATTTAACAGATTGCTTTAAATGGCAATGGCAGCATAAGGAGTCAATGTATGTGCATTCATTTGTTTCTTTTGGGGGGGAAAACCCCTCAAACAACACTTACTGTCATCATGCTAAAGGTAATACATGACTTGGGGAAAAAGTTTTGCGAAAAACCAAAAAATGTAAACAAAAAGGAAAACTTCCTTGCTGGAGAAGAATTTTTTTTTAAAAATGAAAGAGAATGGGAGCAAGGAAAAATGTGAGATCATACTCTTTAATGAAATTCTTGGTTATGTTAGTTGCTAAGGTCAGGATCAATATGTACCTCTAGAAAGTAGAAAGTTGTACTATATATATATATAATAAAATACATTAAAAGAAAGTTCTGGAATGCATGTTTTCTAAAATAAATCTAGTTGGTCAACACGGAAAACACAGTTGAAAATGATTTATCCTATTTCTTAATCACTTTTTTCAATTATCTAGAAAAAACAGACCCACTAGTTGCCTAAGGCAGAAAGCCCTATAAGTCTTGTAATGCAAACTATATCTTTTTAGTTTTAAAACCAGCCATTAACTGATCTGAAATTTAATGTCATTTACACTTGCTTTCCCCTTGTTTTGTATCACAAGGCTCAATAAAATTCTGAAGGAACTATCTAGCTTTCCCATAAATGATCCTGGGACTTAAAGCCACACTGTTTTGGTCTGGTTCTCTAGCCACAAACTGTGAAGAGAATGTCATATATCCTCTATTGCATAATAGAGCTTTCTGGTCAAAGAATGAAACTGAAATCTGAAACACAACAGGATGGATGAAGATTGAAATTTCTGATAATGTAGTTAAAAACTACATGATACAAAACTACATGATACAAAAACCATAGCTGGGAAAATGATGGTTGTCTAGGAACTGCTAGACAGTTCCTAGGAATTGTCTAGGAATCCGCCTGCAATGCAGGAGACCCTGGTTTGAGTCCTGGGTCAGGAAGATCCCCTGGAGAAGGGATAGCCTACCCACTCCAGAATTCCTGGGCTTCTCTTGTGGCTCAGCTGGTAAAGAATCTGCCTTCATTGTGGGAGACCTGGTTTCAATCCCTGGGTTGGGAAGAAATCTCAGGGCTTCCCTTGTGGCTCAGCTAGTAAAGAATCCGCCTGCAATGCGGGAGACCTGGTTCGATCCCTGGGTTAGGGAGATCTCCTAGAAAAGGGAAAGACTACCCACTCCAGTATTCTGGCCTGGAGCATTCCATGAACTGTACAGTCTATCAGGTTGCAAAGAGTTGGACACGACTGACTTTCACACTTTCAGGAATATATAAGAATATAAATATTTTCCCACATTCTTAGAAGATTATGTCCATTGATTTTTTAACTTAGGATAATTTCCTAGAAGTAAAATTGCTATGTAAAAGCATGTGGACTTTATTTTTTTTTTGGCTGATGCTTCTTTGTTGTGGTGGGACCCTTCTCTCATTGTGGCATGCAGGCCCTCTAGTTGTGGCACATGGGCTTAGTTGCCCTGTGGCATGTGGGATCTCAGTTCCCTGACAAGGGATTGAACCCATTTTCCCTGCATTGGAAGGTAGATTCTCAATCACTGAACCACTAGGGAAGTTCTCTAAAAGGGTATGAACTTTAAAGGTTTTATAGCGATTGTGCCAAAAGAGTCTCCAGAGTTGTATTCCTCTTCCCACAGTGCAGAAACTATTTCTCAGAATTGCCTCTTCACACTTTCTAGATGAATGATGTTCCTGGACAGATGTGGGGCTGTTGTTTCCATGTTCTTGTGACAATACTGGGAATTACAATGAAAATAACAGCACACACACAGAGAAAAAATCCTTACTGAATTATTTAGAATTCTCTGATTATTAGTACTATTAATATTTTCCACATGTTTAGAGGTTATTTTGGCACATTCTTTATCAGGGGGGTTGGGACTGCTTTGCCCTTTGTCATTTTCAATAAGCACATTCAAATTGTTTAGATTTGTAGAGAGCTTTTAAAAAAATGTGGGTGTTTATCTTCATTATGCACATTATAACTTATTTCTCTGTTTTTCAACTTTCTTTCTATTTAACTTTTTATTATAGAAAATTCCAAATATAAACAACAGGAGAAAGAATAAGTATGTGCTGGGCTTAGTTGCTCAGTCGTGTCCGACTCTTTTGTGATCCCGTGGACTGTAGGCCACCAGGCTCCTCCTCCATGGGGATTCTCCAGTCAAGAATCTGGAGTGGGTTGCCATGCCCTCCTCCAGGGGATCTTCCCAACCCAGGGACCAAACCCAAGTCTCCCACACTGTAGGCAGATTCTTTACTGCCTGAGCCACGAGGGAAGAACAGGTATAGTGAGCCCAATAAGCCCATCTTCGAGTTTTAACAATAATCAAATAATCCTGATACCTTTATTTAATTGGAGGATAATTACTTTACAATATTGTGATGGTATTTGCCATACATCAATATGAATTGGCCACGGGTATACATGTGTCCCCTCCGTCCTGAACTCCCTACCCACTCCCCCCCCAATCCATCCCATCCCTCCAGGTTGTCACAGGGTACCCTGTGTCATACATTAAATTCGCATTGTTTATCTATTTTACATATGGTAATGTACATTTTTCAATGCTATTTTCTCAAATCATCCCACCCTCTCCTTCTCTCACTAAGTCTAGAAGTCTGTCTTCTATGTTTGTGTCTCCTTTGCTGTCCTACCCATAGGATTATCAGTACCATCTTTCTAGATTCCATATATATGGGTTAATATACAATATTTGTCTTTCTCTTTCTGACTTAACTTCACTCTGTATAATCGGCTCTAGGCTGATCCACCTCATTAGAAATGACTCAAATGCAATCCTTTTTATAGTCCTGATACCTTTCTGTTTGATGCTTTTTGATTGACTGAAGTTTTTTATTTTTGTCAAATCTATTATCTTTTCTCACCTTTTTTTTTTTTTTTTTGCATTAAAGTTCAGAAAGGACTCCCTTAACATCAGGTATAGTCATTTATCTTCCTAGTACAATATTTTATAGTTTTATTTTTTCACACTTAATTTTTTAGTTTAGCTATAATTTACACTGGTATTTAAGTGAGAGGTGAGGATCTAACAGTCATTTTGTAAATAGTTAACCAGTATACTAATTTTTAAATACTGGATTCTCCTGGATTTCTAGCCTGTTAAATTAATTTGTTATTAGGTAACACAATTTAAATTATTTTGCTATAAAATTAATTTTAATAACTTTTAAAAATGATAAAATGAGGATCAATTTCTATACAACTTACCCGGCTGCACTTTTTAACAACATCTGGGCCAGGTATGGCATTGAGAAGAGCTATAATAAGGTAACGATTCAGCAGCTTCTCTAGTCCTAGCTCTTGCAAGATGTCTTCTGGGAGGAGTTCATTCCAAAGAAGAATATTGCCGAAGAGCTAAAATACAACAAAATTTCAAGTGACTCTGTACCTTTTCTCCAAAGGAAAACTTTAATAGTCTCCAACAAACAAAAAGCTGGCCAAACTGTAAAACTCTCACCACAATTAGTACTGTTGGAACCATCAATTTTAGAATAGAAAACATTTTTGAATAAACACTTAATTCTTCTCAACCTGCATGTATTTCTTCATCCTATCTTCATTTTTTTTTTTTTTTTTTAGGATAACCACTCAAAATCTATTTCAAATTACCTTGCTGGAACTTTTCCAGATCAACAATCCTCCTTCTCAATCCATTCTCTCTTGGAGGCTGGGGCCATTGGATATAAGACTGCAGAACCCCAGGATTCATAAAAGCACTGATGTTAAAGCCAGTGCTACTGTTACCAATATGTGACCTTGAGAAATCAATCAAACCTGAGAACCTCACTGCTCTAATATTGAAAATAAGATTAATAATAACCTGTGGGTTTGGAGATGTTTTGGGTAAAATCCTTTTAAGAAATTCTAATAAAATTCTAATCAAAATAATACGGGTTGCATTTCTCTCTTCTAAATGCAGACCTTTATGTGAATTTTATGGTAGCTTCCATTTTCTTTCCATTACTAAATTTCCAGTTGTACTAACATGCAATGGTTTTTCACAATGTCATTGTTGATGTTGCTCCCTCTTCCTGAAAAGCCTTTTTCCTGACCCAACCACATGACAAGTATTGACTCACCCTATCAAAACTATTCCTGCTGAAGTCATTCATGACCTTATAACTATGAAACCCAGTAAACATTTTCAGTCTTTCTTCTAATTCTCTTCAGTGGCATTAATACTTTGCTCTCAAAAGTCCTTCACTTAGTTTCCCTGATGCCACTCTCTTGTGACCATTCTTAGTTTAACAGCTTATTCTTAAGGCCTGTCTGAAGACTTCACTTTGTCTGCCCACTGCTTCTTCTCTTCAGAGGGTGTCATTCATCACCATGCCTCCAAACACTGCCTAAATGTGACTGACTCCCAAATCTCCAGCTCAGATCTGTCTCCTGTAATTTAGACTCACAGATTCAAGTGCCTCCCTTTATCCCATAGATATCTTACATCCACTATGTCCACTTATCTTTCCTCCCAAACCTTTTCTTCCTTCTCTAATGCCCTCAAAGAATGCCACCATAAGTTAATAGGGTGCCAAAGTCAGAAACTTGGCTAGCACCCTACATTCTTCAGCGTAGAATTAATTCTGTAATCAGTCATTGGGTTCTTTCGATGCTTCATCCTAAAGATCTTTTGAACCAATCTTTTCCTTACTGTCCCCACTGCCATTGATTCAGCGCCAATTTCATCCTTTACTGTTTAGACCAGAGGTTAGACAACTATGGCATGTGAGTTAAATCCAGCTCATGGTCTGTTTTTGTAGACTTGGTGCACTGAGGATGGTTTTTATAATTTTAAATGATTAAAAAAAGTATTTTAAGACATGAAAATTATATGACAGTCAAATTTCAGTGTCCATAAAGTAAAGTTTTACTGAAACACAGACATGCTCATTTATTTACATATTGTCTATGACTGCTTGCACTACAGTGACAGAGCTGAACAGTTCAACAGACATTATACGACCTACAAAACCTAAAATACTACTGTCTGGTCCTTTATAGAAGAATTTTTCTGATCTTCACTATACAGTAAACTTTTTTTCAAAGAAAATATTTTTTTTACTTTTGCAGTTTTCTGCTTACCTTTAGACCTGACCAGAACTGTCTTTCTTGAAACTTTGAATGTGGTGATGTTCTGTTTTCTACAGCACTAATTTAAAGCAAAAGAAAGAAAATGCAAAAGACTGTTCATCTTTCAGAAACAGAGTTTAAAGAACTGAATGGTTACTTTTTTTTTAAATCAACCAAACTGTGTCTTAACAATATAATTGAAGGTGCTCTGGTGATATCTAATAAAATTACTAACGTATGTACACTCTCCCAACAAATCCATGTTTGAGAATGCCTTCTATAGATATATTTGCACATGTACAGGATAATATGTTCATAAAATAATTCACAACATTGTTAGTAATGGTTTACTGCTTGCATATTCATCAATTACAATACAGCCATAAAATGGCGTATTGTGCAGCTAAAAAAGCATGAGGAAACAATTTGTGGATGACACAAAAAGATCTCAAAGATGTACTAAGTTAAAGTAAGGTACAAAACAATGGTTATGACAACAATATACTTACTTTGCTATAAAAAAGAAGGGGAAATAAGATTAATTCTAATTGCACTGTAAGTATTAAAATTCTATCTAAAGTATTTAATTCTAATTGCAGAAAGAAATTCCAAAAAGGTAAAAAAAAATTACCACCAATGAGTATTCTTGCATGTGTACAGAAAAGAAGGCAAAAACTGGGTAGATGGAGGTGAGGAGCAGGAGAGAATAAGACTTTTCATTTTAAACATATGTAAAAATTTTAAATACACATACTTTTTAACTGTGCAGATATATTACTCACCTAAAACACTGAAAGTGAAAGTCGCTCAGTCATGTCTGACTCTTTGCAACCCCATGGACTATACAGTCCATTGAATTATCGAGGCCAGAATACTGGAGTGGGTAGCCTTTCCCTTCTCCAGGGGATCTTCCCAACCCAGGGAATCAAACCCAGGTCTCCCACATTGCAGACGGACTCTTTACCAACTGAGCCATCAGGGCTTCCCTGAAGGCTATAAAACATTACAAATCTTAATTGTTGTTGTTGTTTAGTTGCTAAATCAGGTCTGACTCTTTTGTGACTCCATGGAAGGTAGTCTGCCAGGGTCCTCTGTCCATGGGGTTTCCCAGGCAAGAATACTGGAGTGGGTTCCCATTTCCTCCTCCAGGGAATCTTCCCGACCTAGGGATTAAACTTGCATCTCCTGCATTAGCAGGTGGTTTCTTTACCACTGAGCAATCTGGGAAGTCAACAAACTTTAACTGGGGTGAAATCTTACATGCAGGCATCTCTTCAGGATTCCAATTAACTAGCAAGCTTAGAAGTTCTTTTCTTCTTTCCATAGAACTCTTTGATCACGTGAGTACTCACTGTAGCGTGAGCTTCAGTCCACAATCCATTACTACAGCTGATGCTTTCTTAGCAAATCTACGAATACACATTAAGTACTACTTGTCTGATCATTTAAAAGTAAATATATATTGCAAAGATGTAGGTTCTGGCCCCTCAGTGACGTTCCAGGCCTTATTTTGAGCTCTCTGTGTCAGGTATTATTCTCAGCACTCTTCATCTTCACAGTGTCCTATGAGATAGGTGTTAATTTAATGCCCATTTTATATACAAAGACACTGAGGCAGGGAAAGGTCCAAGGTCAATTGTCTAGTAACGGTGAATCTGCACTCCAGAAGCTGTGTTTCTAACCGCCTGGCTATGCCACTTTTCATGTTCTCAGGAATATCATCACATCATACATGGCATATAAAAGGTGACTAAGAAATATTTGTTGAAATATCAATTTGCGTGCTCGCTTCGGCAGCACATATACTGAAATATCAATTTGCATCTTAATAGGTATATGTGTTTTGAAAACAATATGTTTAGTTTCTTCTCTATTACACTCTGAAATGAATCTGTATTGCAGGAGTAACTATGTCATAAAATCTAGAAATTAGCAACTCTTACCTCTTTGGATACAGAGGAATAAAAACATCATCTTCTATTGCCTTCTTCATTCTTGAAACAATGGATTTAAGTAAATCCTATTTTTAAAAAATGTAAAAACATCACTGATAGTCATAGATAAAAATGTATGAACCAAAAAAAAAAAAAGAAAAAGAAATGTATGACTCAAAAGAAGCAATTTTAATAGAATAGTGCAAATTTGTACACACTCAAAGACCTAGGTGTTAAAGTAATTGTAAATTAGGTACAAGAGAACTTCATTCATCCAAGTGGTTGCATACTGCAGTAGCTGGTGCCTTTTCATTGCAGTGTAGTATTCTGTTGCATGATAGACCATTTATTTAGATGGTCTTTGGTTTAGGGGTTATTATGAATCATGTTACTATATAAATTCCTGTATAGCATGTCTTTTAGTATGCATGGGCATATATTTCTAATGGGTATATATGTAGAGATGGAATTGCTAGAATCCAGTTCATGTCAACTTTGGACAGAATGCCAAGTTGTTTTCTGAAACAGGGGTATCCCATTTATAGTCCCACTAGTCAGTATGAGAAATCCTGTTCCCCGACACCTTTACTAAGTCGTATTTTTAGGGTTTTTAAAAGCGTGCAATTCTAGTGAGTATGTCAGTTAGTCAGTTCAGTCGCTCAGTTGTGTCTGACTCTTCGCAACCCCATTGACTGCAGCAGGCCAGGACCTGTGTCCATCCCCAATCCCCAGAGTTTACTCAAACTCATGTCTATTGAGTTGGTGATCCCATCCAACCATCTCATCCTCTGTCGTCCCTATCTCTCCCACCTTCAATCTTTCCCAGCATCAGGGTCTTTTCCTATGAGTCAGTTCTTCACATCAGGTGGCTAAAGTATTGGGACTTTCAGCTTCAGCATCAGTCCTTCCAATGAATATTCAGGACTGATTTCCTTTAGGATGGACTGGCTGGATCTCCTTGTAGTCCAAGGGACTCTCAAGAGTCTTCTCCGACACCACAGTTCAAAAGCATCAAATTTTCAGTGTTCAGCTTTCTGTATAGTCCAACTCTCACATCCATACATAACTACTGGAAAAACTATAGCTATGACTAGATGGACCTTTGTTGGCAACGTAATGTCTCTGATTTTTAATATGCTGTCTAGGTTGGTCATAACTTTTCTTCCAAGGAGCAAGCATCTTTTAATTTAATGGCTGAGGTCACCATCTGTAGTGATTTTGGAGCCCCCCAAAATAAAGTCTGTCATTGTTTTCACTGTTTCCCCATCTATTTGCCATGAAGTGATGGGACCGATGCCATGAGCTTAGTTTTCCGAATGCTGAGCTTTAACCAAGCTATTTCGCTCTCCTTTTTCACTTTCATGAAGAGGCTCTTTAGTACTTCACTTTCTGCCGTAAGGGTGATGTCATCTGCATATCTGAGGTTATTGATATTTCTCCCACAATCTTGATTCCAGCTTGTGCTCCACCCAGCCCAGAATTTCTCATGATGTACTCTGCATATAAGTTAAATGAGCAGGGTGACAATATACAGCCTTGGCATACTCCTTTCCCAAGTTGGAACCAGTCTGTTGTTCCATGTCCAGTTCTAACTGTTGCTTCCTGACCTGCATATAGGTTTCTCAAGAGGCAGGTCAGGTGGACTGGTATTCCCATCTCTTTCAGAATTTTCTAGAGTTTGTGGTGATTCACACAGTCAAAGGCTTTGGCATAGTCAATAAAGCAGAAATAGATGTTTTTCTGGAACTCTCTTGCTTTTTTGATGATCCAGCAGATGTTGGCAATTTGATCTCTGCTTCCTCTGCCTTTTCTAAAGCCAGCTTGAACATCTGGAAGTTTGCTGTTCATGTACTGTTGAAGCTTGGCTTGGAGAATTTTGAGCATTACTTTGCTAGCGTGTGAGATGAGGGCAATTGTGCGGTAGTTTGAGCATTCTTTGGCATTGCCTTTCTTTGGGATTGGAATGAAAACTGACCTTTTCCAGTCCTGAGGCCACTGCTGAGTTTTCCAAATTTGTTGGCATATTGAGTGCAGCACTTTCACAGCATCAACTTTTAGTATTTGAAATAGCTCAACTGGAATTCCATCACCTCCACTAGCTATGTTCACAGTGATGCTTCCTAAGGCCCACTTGACTTCACATTCCAGGGTGTCTGGCTCTAGGTGAGTGATCATAGCATTGTGGTTATCTGGGTCATGAAGATCTTTTTTGTATAGTTCTTCTGTGTATTCTTGCCACCTCTTCTTAATATCTTCTGCTTCTATTAGGTCCATACCATTTCTGTCCTTTATTGAGCCCATCTTTGCATGAAATGTTCCTTTGGTATCTCTAATTTTCTTGAAGCAATTTCTAGTCTTTCCCATTCTATTGTTTTCCTCTGTTTCTTTGCACTGATAACTGAGGAAGGCTTTCTTATCTCTCCTTGCTATTCTTCGGAACTCTGCATTCAAATAGGTATATCTTTCCTTTTCTCCTTTGCTTTTTGCTTCTCTTCTTTTCACAGCTATTTGTAAGGCCTCCTCAGACAAACATTTTGCTTTTTGCATTTCTTTTTCTTGGGGATGGTCTTGATTCCTGTCTCCTGTACAATGTCACGAACCTCTGTCCATAGTTCTTTAGGCATCTGTCTATTAGATATAGCCCCTTGAATCTATTTCTCACTTCCACTGTATAATCGTAAGGGATTTGATTTAGGTCACACTTGAATGGTCTGGTGGTCTTCCCTACTTTCTTCAATTTAGTCTGAATTTGGCAATAAGGAGTTCATGATTTAAGTCACAGTTGGCTCCCAGTCTTGTTTCTGCTGACTGTATAGGGCTACTCCATCTTTGGATGAAAAAATATAATCAATCTGATTTCAGTATTGACCATCTGGTGATTTCCATGTGTATAATCTTCTCTTGTGTTGTTGGAAGAGGGTGTTTGCTATGACCAGTGCATTCTCTTGGCAGAACTCTATTAGCTTTTGCCCTGCTTCATTCTGTACTCCAAGGTCAAATTTACCTGTTACTCCAGGGGTTTCTTGACTTCCTACTTTTGCATTCCAGTCTCCTATAATGAAAAGGACATCTTTTTTGGATGCTAGTTCTAGAAGGTCTTGTAGGTCTTCATAGAACTGTTCTACTTCAGCTTCTTCAGCACTACTGGTTGGGGCATAGACTTGGATTACCATGATATTGAATGGTTTGTCTTGGAAACGAACAGAGATCATTCTGTCATTTTTGAGACTGCATCCAAGTAGTGTGTTTCAGACTCTTTTGTTGACTATGATGGCTACTCCATTTCTTCTAAGGGATTCTTGCCCACAGTAGTAGATATAATAATCATCTGAGTTAAATTCACCCATTCCAGTCCATTTTAGTTCGCTGATTCCTAAAATGTTAACATTCACTCTTGCCATCTTCTGTTTGACCACTTCCAATTTGCCTTGATTCATGGATTCATTAGATTTCAGTTAACAATGAGAAACAAACTTCTCTTCTACACCTTCCACAGACTGTTCATAGTATACCTCTCAAGATCATGCAGAACAAATCTAATCATCCTTCCATATGAAAACTCTTCAGATTTTAAGATTGATATCTCACTTTTCTATATTTTGTCTTTCCCATACCATCTTAGACACTCTCCATTTAATATACTTTAACCTAAAATTAAATGCAAATAGCTCAGGGAAATGAGGAAAGCACATATAACAATTTTACTCCAAAGAGCAGACATCTAGAAGGATGAACTTCCATCAGTCTTTCTGCTACTCAAGTGACACTGTTGACTCATACTGAGTTTATGGATGATTACAATCCCTCTCCATTTTACCTGTGTTGCTTTAAAGTTGTGCCTCTCCCATCTTTTATTTATGCATAAAATACATATTCTTTTCACATTTTATATTTTGAGAGTCAGTCCTTTTCTCAGTATTTTGAAATTCTTTTGGATTCTAATTCTGTTATCCATAGATTTATGATAGAATTCCTAGCTTTCTGCCATTGAGAAATTTCATTAGCATGTATTTTACATACTCATCCAATTCAATAAAAATACCAAACAGGACAAAGCTGAGAGGATTCCAGCCTTATGAATCAGTATTCTTTAGGTATACTTTTACTGGTTTTCTTTGTATTTAACTATACCCTATTCCTCCCCCCCCCAATTTGATCTATAAGAAAATCATAACATATTTAAATAATTATTTACTGTACCTGTACAGTACCTTACTTAGTGGAAGTAACTGAGATATTAGTAATATGGAAGAATATGCTTTGACATAGATTTGGTTTTAGGAACCCCATCAATGAGAGATTACAGTAACCACTGCTTTCTTATTTTAAGTGTTCATAATCCATCTCTGTAATAATCTATTTTAGAACCTTAGAATTAAAAGTATTCTCACCAGGCATTAGCTTACAGAATCACTTACTTTTCACTGAAAATCAGCCACTGTGCTGTCTGATTTGTGCCTCTGGGGCCTTTCTCATTCTCTTCAATTCTTTAAACATCACTAAGAAAAACAGAGTGAGCTCACCAGCAAACTGTGTTACTAACCTGGAATCTTACCTAGTACACTGATTCTCAAATAGGAGCAACTTTGCCATGCCTCAGAATATTCTCTAAGTCTAGAGATATTTTTGGTTGTCAAGACTGGGAGCTTACTGCACAGAACAGTCTCACACAAAGAAATATTGGTTCCAAATGCCAAGAACGCCAAAGCTGAAAAGTCCTGATGTAGTTCTGATCTCCTACTAAAGCCAAAAACCCATTTCCAACATTCATAGTAGGAGGGTTTTCAGAATTAAGATTACCAGTATAAAAACTTCATAGTGAATCCATAAACTGTTGAAAGACTTTAGTGGTTACAAAATGCCAGGCCTGCCACTGTTAAAAGTGATCTTTTAAAGTGACTTGGCCCTCTAGGCCCCAGCTTCCTCACCTGTAAAAATGTAATTAAAATCAACATGTTTTACAAGGTTTTGAGGATCAAATGAGAAAGTGTTTAAAAAACTGTAACTGTAAATGCACTATTTACATTTAGGCTATAATTACATAATCCCATGTAGACAGCAAATACAGGATTATATAGCTGTTTGCTTGTTTGCTTGCTCTAACATACTCGTCTTGGTTCTATGCTTTGTAACAACACAAAATAAATTTACTCCTTCATCAAACATAATCTCCAAGCGCATCATCTTTAAAGTTGAATCTAATTCTTGCATGATTTTCACATGTTTTTATCCTGTTGGAGGTGAGTGGAAAATGCCCTTTCTCCTTCAGTTGCTACAATGCTCAAATCCTATTCTTTCCTTTTAGGTCCTTGCTCAAATGCCACATGTAATAAAAATTCTTTCACTGCTGAAATTTCTCTCTCCTGCCTCTCTTCTTAAGTTTGATTGCACTTTATCTGAGCCATTCATGGAGAGGCAATGTGGTCAGTGAGATGAGCTTGGGTTTTAAAGTAAGACTGAGTGCATGTGTGCTCAGCTGCTTCAGTCGTGTCTGCCACTCTGCAACCTGTGGACGGTAGCCTGCCAGTCTCCTCTGCCCATGGGATTCTCTGGGCAAGAATACTGGAGTGGGTTGCCACACCCTCCTCCGGGCAATCTTCCCGATCCTGGGATCCAATTTACGTCTCCTGTGTGTTCTGCATCACAGGCAGATTCTTTACTGCTGAGCCTCTGAGGATGCCCAAAGTAAGACTGACCAAGGTACAAATCTTAGTTCTAACTCAAGGTATTACTGTGAACAGGTTTCTGCGATTCAGATTCTTCATCTGTAAGATAAAGCTATCATCCTTTAAAAAAAAATTGTTTATTTTTGGCTATTCTGGGTTTTTGCTTCCACTCAGGCCTTTCTCCAGTCGCAATGAGCACGGGCTACTCTCTAGTTGTGGTGCACGGGCGTCTCTCGTTGCAGAGCACAGGTGCACAGGCTTCAGTAATTGCGGCTCTCGGGCTCGAGAGCACAGGCTCAACAGCTGTGGTACATGGGCTCAGTTGCTCCTCTGCCTGTCGGATCTTCCTGGACCAGGGATTGAACCCACGTCTCCTGCACTGGCAGGCGGATTCTATGCCACTGAGCTACCAGGGAAGCCCTAGCACCCACTTTTAACAGGACTGCTGAGACTAAGTGGGCTGACACAGGAATAAGGGCTAACAGAGTACTGAGGACATAGCAGGAATTAGACAAGTAAGTCTTGTCATTCCCACTTACTTCCTACTTAAAGTAACAGTTTATATGTATCTTGTTTCCTCTAAGATTATGTGATTCTTGATGGCAGAATCATGCTGGTATCCTCTTCTCTCCTTTTCTTCTTACAGCTTCCCTCCTTCATTACTTAAAACTTATTGGTGCACAGAATATGAATATGACATGTCTTCTTGCTTTTCAACTACTTTGATTATTCCCCTCTGGGTATCCTCCAGTCTGTGAATCTCTCTCTTAATTCTCTTAAAACTCAACATAAAATTGTCTTACTCTTTTAACTGCATCAATCTACAATATTATCAACAAACAAAATGATTTAAAAAAAGAGTACTGTAATAAAAGATTCAAGAAACTCTCACCACAGCCTCTGAAAAGTTCCTTCCTCTTTATGTCTTATGTTCAGTAAAACTCAATTCTACATTAAGCTGAGAATCTATCCTTTTTTAAACTTTGAATCCTCAAAGAGCTACCTGTTCTTGACTATGCAGATTACAGAATACCAGTTAAAATACTGAATGTTAGTCTAGTTTTAAAATTATTGTTAAAGTAAGGTCATAATATTACTAGATTTTTGCCAAAAGAACAAATGTAATTTTCTTTTAGAAGGAATCAATTTGCACTAATGTATTTATGCCTGTTCATCTCTGCAGGGCCAATGTACATTCACAAACCTGAAAAACAGGTAGTTGGGCCATGAGATCTGTTGAATAAATCAAACCATTGAACAGAGAGAAATACGCTAATAAGAATGAAAGTAATAATCTGGGTCTTACTGCATGTTTATGTATTCTATTATAGTGATTACCATTCCTATAAGAATGTTTGGAAATATCACAGTGTATCCTTTAATCTTATTAATTATAAAGAGCAAAAAATGGTCAGTCCTAAATATTTTTCATCAATAGTGTTCTGATAATTACTTCTGCATCATCTGTAAACAAAGATTTATAATAAATTATATTGATTTAAAAGTAAATCAAGAAATTCATAATTCTAGACATTATTACCTGTTTGCCTTTATTAACTTCATTTTCACAAGTGGAATGTTCTTCAAGAATCATTCTGCACTGTGTTACTAAACTTGTTGTCTGTGTGGTTGACAAGGGATCCCAAATGAATTCTACAAAGCCTGAAACAAACATTTTCAGTGGTGTAGTTTAGTTACTAGACTACTTTGCTTGTCACATATAAACAGTTGAGGCCTTTTGCAAATGCTACTTCCCTCCTTAAGTGGTTTTAAAAAATCAATGCCAATCAGTACACTATGTATTTGCATACATACTCAATTTTCTTATCTTTTTTGGGTTTTGCTGAACTTGTATGGCTCAGCTGCAACTCTAGTTAAATTACCTTGTCAGTGTTGGTGGCCGCAACCAAGCAGTTAAAACATGACTGGAAAAAAGTACACTTTAAATTGATCACCATGGCACTCCAGTGAGACCAAAACGCTGCCCAGCAATCAGATTTCATTTCTCTGGCCCATTCTCTTTCCCTTCTTGTGAGACAATTATTTCCTGCCTTCTCCTTCCTCCTTGCTCTCAGTTAATGGACTTTACTCTTCCAGATGACGATTTCTTATGATTTCTTTTTTCCACCCTTGCTCTCACTGTCAGTTTACTTCCCAACTTGATGAGAAAAACAGAATTAATCAGAAAAGCTCCACAAGCTCCTACCATAGCATCTACGAATCTAGCAGCATCTGCACCCATAAATTCTAACTTGTCTCCCATTTCTATGGATGAAGTACTAGCCTCCTTGCTAATGCCAACCTTTAGTTTGTACAAAAGAGTCCAACCCCTTTGGCTTACTTGAAGATTCTGCTCCTGGAATTCTGCCCTCTCACTTCAGCATCACCATCACTTCTACTGGGTCTTGTCCATCACTCTACAATTTTTTTCTTGTATTAAAAATAATCCCTCTGTTGACTCTACTTTCCTCTCTAGAGCTGCCCTATTTCTTTCCTTCATTTTACAACAAAATTACTCAACAATTGTTGAAACTTTCTATCTCCAATTTCTTTCCTCAAACTCCTGAGTTCACTTCAGTTAGGCCTTACTTCCAGCAGTTCTCCTAAACTACTCCTATCAAGTAACAGATAACTTTCACATTGCAAAATCTAATGGCTGATTCTAGTCTCCATCTGATTTAACAGCAACAACTACATTTTTTTTTTTAAACTTGGCTTCCAGGATACTGCTGGTTTCCATGGACCTCTCTTGTCTCCTTTACTGTCTGCTTGTCATCCTGCTGACCTTCTAAATGCTGGACCTCAGGACTCAGGTCACTTACCTTCTCTTTCCTATTTATATTTATACCCTTAGTATGTCAAGTCAGTTTTGTGGCTTTAAATGCTGTCTATGTGCTGATACACTCCAAATTTATATCTCCTCCGTGGATCTGTCCTTTAGACTCATATATTTAACAGCCCAGTCGACAGCTCTATTTGGATGACAGGCATCTCAAACCCAACAGGTGTCAAACTGAGCTCGTGCTATACCTCCTCCCCAAACCTTGCTCCCCTCAGTCTTTTCCATTTGAGGAAATGGCAACTCTGTGCTTCCAGCTGCTCAGGCCAAAAGCCACTTAGTCATTCTTGATTCCTCTCTTTCTCTCTTGTTCCACAATCCATATCAAATTCTGTTAGTGTTAGTACTTTTGAAATATACACAGAATTTGACCACTTTCCAGCCACCTCCATTTTTAACACTCAAGTCAAACCACCATTGCTTAGATTACTGAAAAAGCTTCATAACTGATCTGCATATAGTTCATTCTTAACACAGGAAACAGAATATGTCTGTTAAAATGATAAGGCACATCTTGTCACTTCTCTGCTCAAAACTCTCCAACTGCTTCTCACTCACTCACAGTAAAAGTCCTTACAAATGATTATAAGGCCCCATATGACACAGCCACGGTCATCCTGCCAACCTCTTCTTACTGTCCCTATTGCTCACTCTACTAAAGTTACTCTGGCCTATCTGCTGTTTTTCAAGTAAATCAGGCTAGCCTCTGCCTCAGGGCCTCTGCATGTGCTGTTTCTGCTGCCTAAGATGCTGTCACCTCAGACATTCACTTGGCCCACTTCTTTACTTCCTTTTGGAAATCTGCTCATTTGTGACCTTTCCAGGAAGCCCTTCCCCGGCCAAAGTATTTTAAATTGCACTCCTCTTTCATAATTTGTATCTCTCCCCCGTACTTTATTTTTCTCCTTGGCCCTTGTAACTAACACACTATAGATTTTACTTGTTCATCGTTTGTCTCCTTCACAGAATGAAAGCTCCATAACATCAGGGATTATTATTTTGTTTACTGATGTATATGCTGAAGTTAAAAACTGTGCTTGACTCTTTTAAATACAAGTTAAATAATTTTTTAAAAATTTAAATAGGTTAAAAAAACACCCCAAATCAAATATAAAACTGATTTCTCAGACATCTAGAAGGTTAGGCTTGTAATAATCTTAGAAATATTTGGCCAACTAATACTGAGAATCTACTATGTGCCTAGCATTAACTATTAGAAATACAGCAATAAGTAAGATTAGGTTTGCCTCAGAACAATTTTGTTTAATGTCAAATACAAATATATTATATATATATATATGTATAGTTGCTTAGGTAAGTAATTATAACATGTAGGTACCATCCTAAAGATTAGTTTAGAGTACTTCAGGAACCCTGAAAAGGTATGCCTAACCCAGTTCCTAGAAATGATGTCTATAGAGTGTTCTGAAAGATGAAGAGGAGTTAGTTAGCTAGATGAAAGAGGTATAGGGTTAAGGGATTTGTCAGGTGGATGGAGTGTAGAAGATGTAAAGGCCAAGGAGGAGATAGCTTCAGACCAGTAGAGGTGGAGATGAGGGGAAGAAGGAGCTGAGCTTGGCAAAAGATGAGGCTAGAGAACTACTAAACAGAGACAAAATCCTGAAAGTCCTAGAACACATGCTAAAGAGGTTAGACTTCAACCTAAAGGCAGTTTAGAATAAAGTGTTTTAAGTGAGGTATGACAGAATCAGACTTACATTTTAGACAGATCACCACGGTTAAAGTATAGAAAATGGGTTAGAAAAAGGAAAAAAGTAACGGATGTGGCATTTGCTTATATAAAGAGGTAAGAAAAAAGCAGGAGTAGATGACTTGGAGGTTCTGGTTTGAACATGTGGGTAGGTGGAGGTACCATTTTCTAGACAAGGAATATAAGAGGAATAAGTCTGCAGCAAAGATGACAAGTGTGATTTTGCATTTGGAATTTGAGTTGCCAAGTAGATATATTCAGAAATTACTCTGGTAAGAGATCTGGTGCTCTAAGAAGAGATCTGGACTTGTTCTTTCAGTTCTTTTTGATTGAAAATCAAGCAGAAAAGCACTGTCCAAAAGAACTTTCTGTGATGAAAGGAAAAAACATCTGACATCTGCACTATTTAATGTGACAGTCATGAGTGATATATGGCTACTGAAGAACACAGATATAGATGGCACTAGAAGAGAGTATGCAATTACCCAGGGAGCTCAAAAAGAGCTATTGTAAAGTGAAGTATTTGGAATTTTCAGATGAATACTTAAGTGAGGCAAATATATTCTATGCTATCATTAATAATGCTTAATAGCTAAAACTAAATGGTTAAAAGCACTATTTTTCCAAGATACTCCATGAGTGCACTGTAAATTATTCTGAGGAAAATCTTTAAAGTTTAGTCAAGTTGGCTGAGAAGCAATATAAAGCAGGTTGCTTTAGTTTTTAAGAGTTTTCAGACTTTGCAGTCAGAATCCATTTTCAGTGACATGGTGGAACAGATCCATTATACTTATATACATTATACTTACATACTTATCAAGTATAATTTCAGATAAAACAAGTTCAGACAGAGGGACAAGCATTAATGCCCAACGGCTCTGAGTGCTAGTAGGAGAAGTAAGGGGAATGTAGTAATATTTATCTAAAGAAAGAAGAAACTCACCATACACAAAAATAAATTCAAAAGGGATTACAGACCTAAATGTAAGACCGGACACTAAAAAAACTTACAGAAGAAAACACAGACATGACACTCTTTGATATAAATTGCAGCAAGACCTTTCATTGCTCCTAGAGCAATGAAAATAAAAACAAAAATTAACAAATGGGATTTAATTTAACTTAAAAGATTTTGCACAGCAAAGGACCATAAGCAAAACAAGAAGATAACCCTCAGAATGAGAAAATATTGCAAACAAAGCAACTAACAAGGGGCTCAATCTCCAGAATATACGAACAGCTCACGCAGCTCAACATCAAACAATAAGTAGCCCAGAAGGCAGAGGATCTAAACAGACATCTCCCCGAAGAAGACACACAGATGGCCACATGGCACATGAAAAGATGACCAACATCAGAAATGCACATCAAACTACAATGAAGCCTCATCTCACACAGGTCAGAATGGCCACCGTCAAAAAATTTACAAACAATAAATGCTGGAGAGGGTGTGGAGAAAAGGGAACCCTCCTACACTGTTGGTGGAAAAGTGAATTGCAACAGCCACTATGGAGAACAGTATGGAGCTTCCTTAAAAAGCTGAAAACAGAACTACTAAATAACCCAGCAATCTCAATCCTGGGCATATAACCCAGAGAAAACTGTAACTGGAAAAGGTACACTCACCCCAATGTCCACTGCAGCATTATTTACAATAGCCAGGACATGGAAACAAGCTAAATGTCCATCAACAAAGGCATGGATAAAGAAGATATGGTAATATTCCATTATATACCATGAAATATTATCACCCAGCCATAAAAAAGACAAAAAATACCATTTGCAGCAACATGGATGAACCTAGACTGTCATACTTAGTGAAGTAAGTCAGACAGAGAAAGACAAATATGTGATATGGTTTCTATGTGGAACCCAAAAATCAGGCTACAAACAAACGTATTTACAAAACAGAAGTAGAGTCATGGCTGTAGAAAACAAACTTATGGTTACCAGGGGATAAATGTGGGGAGGAATAAATTGGGAGATTCGGATTGACTAGACACACTACTATATATAAAACAGAAAACCAGTAAGAACCTGCAATACAGCACGGGAAAATCTACTCAAAACTCTGTAATGGCGTGTATGGGAAAGGGATCATTAAAAGACAGTGAATATATATATAACTGATTCACTTTGCTGTACACTTGAAACTAACACAACATTGTAAATCAACCATACACCAATAAAAAATTTTAAAAAAAGAAGAAATGTAAGGGGAGAAGTTAAGGGAAAGACATACACATAGTAGAAATCAAAGTGTGCCACTAATACATGACTTATAAAAGTAACTAATAAAAGTAATGCGAATGTCACAAATACTAATGGTCCAAGAGTATCAGGAGTTTGATAGCCAGTCACCTGCACAAACTGTTTTTAATCAGATTAAATTATAAATCTGTTGATTTTTACTGCATATTACAGCTGTGTTCAAAAACAAAAAAAATTTGTGACTGTAACAGGAATTATTTATCTTATACTTAGCTAAAGAACAATTTAATTTTATCAAGATTACAAAACAGTACCTGTAAGTCGAGGAATAACTGTTTTGTTGATGACAGTAGACAAGATTTTCTTATCAGAACTATCTTTCTTCTTTGAATCTTCCATACTGCAATCTATAAATTCTTTTATAGATGTGAACCATGGCATCTGTTTTAAACCTATGGAATCAAACTTATAAATAAAATAATCCAAGTTATAAATAAATTCTTAAACTTTATCTTTAAACAGTTAACTTTTTCAGTAATTACCAGAGCTTTTCTAAGGATCAAGGGAGAATAATTCCATATTTTAACCCAACGTATACAGTGGGTTACAGTTTATAGGGTCACAAAGAGCTGGACATGATTGAAGCGACAGCACTCATGCACATACAGTACTAGACCACCAAGGCTAGACAGGATGACATGACTAACACATGATGTCTAGACGGTGAGACAGGATATTACATTTCATGCATTTATTCATGTCCAGAAATGCCCCCTGTGTATTCAGGATGTATTAAGTGGCAGGTACTGTTAGGAACAAAATATACATTTATAACAATAGCAGTTAAAGTACCCATGGAATTTGCTTTTAAAGATAAACTTACCTCATACAAAATTCACTCTGGCTCTCCCAAGTCTCCCTAACTCAAATGTATACTTTGCATGTGGCTTATCTTATTATTAACCAAACAGCAGATGGCCAATTACTATTTGTTGAATGACTGAATGAACAGATCTTTGCTATATGTGACAGAATACTCAATTCAGCTTGAGTGGTTAACAAATAGGCTGCCGTCCAACCAGCTACCTTAGGGATAAGCTTGGTTCCTAATCCTAGAACGCTGCATGGCCCTGAACCTAACAGAAAGTCTAAAGGCATGCATGACTAGGGCAGAGGAAGACCTGCCTTAGTCGAACAAAAGGAATTCACCCTTTGTTAAATCTTTATTTTCAGCTCTCCTCTCTTCCTAGAATTTCATTTTCTCAGTTCTGTTTGCTTAACCACATGGATGTCCCATCATCATTTCACTGTCTATAGTGTAAAACTTCCTTGAAAACCTTTTCCCTCTGAAAAGACACCATTTCTATGAACAGAACTACCATTGTCCTAATAACTTAGAATCCAAACCTTGGGGTCACCATTTTGATGTGTTGTGTTAGGGTTATTCACAGTAGTTTATTCATTCTTCATAAAATCACTTGTAATCAACCATTCTTTCCTCTTTGCTTTGTCACTATCACCCTATGTGAGGAACTAATCTCCTTGGACTTGGGCTACAGCAACTGCCTTTCAGTATATCTTCATCTCTTTCTCTCTACCCTCCAAGTTAGCCTATTGCTCAGAGCTTCCTAAATCATTACCTTCATCATGTAGTTCCTCCCATTACCTATCAAAACAAGTTCATATCTTTTGATTTAGAATCTATGCAGTCTCTACAAAACTACTATTTCTCCCCATGTACCTTTACAAAACACCTTTCCTTCCTCTCTCTCTTCCTGTTTAAATTCTATATACCCTTTAAATCCTCATTTAAATTCCCCATCTTCATTGTAGCTTTCCTAGTTAAGTATACCCATTATGTCATCTCCAACTTCAATGTCATCTCCAACTTCAGAACTCTTGGTACCTATTTTGAATTTCACTCAGATTGCAAAATTCTTATGGTCTAATACTATCTTTATTTTTTTGAGTGATCTTCAACTTACCACAAAAGATTTTTTTAAAGTGTTTCCTTTACTGATGTGTTAGCCTTAAAACAGAGTGAGAACCAAGAAATGATAAATGTAGACTACTACTCCAAAGCATGATTATTAATTCCATCTCTAAAGGTGAGATATTTTATATTACAGTTAACCTGATAACAAGAGGATTTAAGTAACTAAATGAGATCAGGATTATTTTTTTCACATTAAGCTCATATACCTTAAGAGGGTTCCAATCAATCAATTGAAATCGTATTAGGGGATTTAAAAGCTTCGGAATGCATAAACTAATGAAAGCTTCATAGTAAGAATCAGGAAACTTTTCTCGCCATTGTTGAAATTTCAATAAAATATTCTGGATATTACAAAAATCACTGTGCACATCTTCAAAAATCTTCTTATGATCCTGTAAAATGTCACCTGTGAAGAAAATGAGTCTTTGTATATTACGCATTTTACATTTGTGATCTTCGTTTGATTCCTATAAACACAGTTATGTATAACTTATGTAATCAACTGAGTTGAAAGTTATTCCTTAACATTAACATATAAATTAGTTTTTATTAAGAAAAACACACCTTAGTAACAGCTGATACTAATAAAATCTACCATTTATTAAGCCCTTGCTATATGCCAAAACATTATAAACACATTATCTCAAGTCATCATCATAACTATCTTCCCTAAAAGGTAAGTGTTTCTAGCCTATCTGTTTACAGACAAAGAAAAAGCAAACAACAATATCAGATACAGTGAAGTCAAGTAATTCACTTAAAGTCACATAGAAAAGATTCCCTCTTTGAACTCATCTGTTTTGACTGTAAAGCCCACATTCTTTCAACTGTACATATTTTACCTTCTTACAATGCTAAAAATGGACTTTACTATAAATTCAATTCAAATTCAAACTACGGGAGATTGTGAAGGACAGAAAAGCCTGCCATGCTGCAGTCCATGGGATTGTGAAGAGCTGGACATGACTGAGCGAATGAACAACAAATAGAGACTTCTGTGGTGGTGCAGTGGCTAAGACTCCAAGCTTCCAATGCAGCAAGCCTAGGTTCAATCCCTAGTCAGGGAACTAGATCTCACAAGCCACAACTAAGACCTGGCACAGGCAAATAAAAATTTTTTTTTAATTGAAAAAAATGATAATATAGAAAGCATGTAGCAGAGAAATGAAGCCAAAAATGTTCATCTATAATAGGAGATGAAAAAGTTTGAGGGGAAAAAACTACAAAGATGCAGGAATACTCATCCCACTTCTCCACTTTATCCATTCTTTCAGAGGTACAGACAAGTCTAATAAGGAAAAAAAAGTATTATTTTTTTCTGAATTTTCCCAACTATTTTGGATAGCTCAATTAAGGGCAATCATGGCAAAGATTTTCCATCATGTCAGTATTTCAAATTAAGCCACATCAGAAACTTGATAACTGACCTTGGCTTTTTTGGAAGTCAATCATGTCTGCTGAAGACAATTCATCATCACTAGATGTTCCTTCTTCATGAGTACAATTCCCAGAAAGAATCCTTGCTTGTCTTCTTCGTGCCCTGTATTTTGCAATAAACCAAAAATAAAATATGAAAATAAATGCTTTAAAACAAAAAGTAAAAGTCATCATTACTTAACATGCCCAGAAATAAACAATCATACTTTCACACAATTTTATGTTAATATTTTTGACATTTTAGCTTCATTAATCTGAACTGATTCTCCCTCTTATTCTTGTTAGACACTCCCATGATTTGGAAAAAGGAGTAGCAATGTATTTAGGACTAGCTTCCAGGTATGAGACAGTCCCAACCTGATAAATACCACTTTACACATTCTTTCTAACTGATCCAAATACACAAGTGTGTCTTTAAATCATGGGGTAGAGGACTGCTTAACTAAATTTTGGTTTTACACCATTCTCACAATATGCTAGGTTATAGTTATTTATACTATATGATTAACTATATTTAAACTATGAAAAATACTTGCTCAGTGATGCTTTAAGTCTTTAGTTACCTTCGAGATTCAACCTCTTCTAAAATCCATTGAGTTTTTTCATCTATAGCCAAGCTATTATTTATTGATGTCTCAGGTGTGCCTGTTAATGAATAAAATTGATTTTATACTGTAAATTCTAAAAAGAAATACAGTGAAACATTTTGAAAACAAAAGTTATATTTTAGGTATGTATACATATTTATATATATAAACATCCATACATAGACTATGCTTAAATTACATATTTCATTATGCAATGAAATTGCAATGTTAACTCTCTACCACAATATTAATAGGTATCGAGTTTGCTAATCTAAGAAAATGTACCTTGTCTGGCAAATATAGTTCAGCACTTGAGAACTGTAACAAAAATAAAGTTTCCTTCCCTTGTATTCTTTTTCAGCAGTTTTCACCATTTTTTTTTTTTCTGTCCCTATGGTCAAATTCTAGAAACACATTACCAATATGTCAATCATATTATCTCCTATTTTAGCATATACTGTAATTTATGACCAACTAAATGTCATATATTTGAGTCATTTTGATTTTACTTTTATCATCTACTTGATGCTGTGGTCTCATTTCTTTCACTATACCCTGACAGCACCTTAATCAAAGGAAGACATCTCGGCAAATACAAAATCAGTGTGAGAATTAAAGGGCTGCATCCAATTCTTTTATTAATATAATGAGATTTATAGATGATTCTATACTGAAACCCACCAGAATTTCTTTAACTTCCACAATTAATCTATAGAAAATTTATAAAGTTGGACTTCTGACACAGTCTATATGTTTATGTCAAGTCATCTCAAAATAATCATTAAATGGTCATATATTTTCTTTCAAACACTAAGTGATTAGAAGTCATAATTTTTATTTTTTTAGATTTGGACTTAATTTAAGACATTTTGAAGCCGAGATTTTAAAATGGTTTGGGAATTTTAGAAGAGGGTAGGTGAAAGGTCAGTGGGAAAATACACAATAAACATTTTTTATATAGAAATAAAAATATTTTTAACTTTTAGCTACAATTTAGCTTAATGAACAAAAAATCACATTGAACATGAAAAACACTAACATGATAACTGTTGTAAATACGCTGATTCATGTTTTAACTCATCTTGCCTGCGTTTCATAAAGATCATGGCTTGTTTTAAAAGGAGTGCATGCATGGCTGATTCTATTTCTTGGATGTTGATAATCTGAAATACATACATAAGTAACATTTTGTGGGTGGTCATTAAATGATTATAAAAAATAATTATATATAAGCACATTATATGCTCAAATTTCCTATAACAGAAACATTTTTAACACTATCACATCTCAATTAAATGAACATTGTGAGGAACAGACGTAGCTTCCAATACTTATAATACTAATAAAACTAGAAAATAAACTTATTGTACCAAAACAGCTATAAATATCATAAATAATAAAACCTAACTTGGCTGGAGTCAGGAACATGGATAAAAGTGAATAGATAAGAAAGATTCTTTTTTGAGATAGAAGAGAAGAAGGAAATTATGACTGCAGCTATTTTTCACAGGCTGAGCATGTCAGACTGTAGGGGAACATCTGAAGAAACTGGTAAAATTTGAAAAAAATAGAGGACAGAAGACACCGAAACAGACAAGAAAGCAAGCTGTGAAGCAGAATTGAGTGATTAGTTAAAACTGGCATTCATATTATATATTTTTTGGGCAACAATTCCCCCCACTTGAATCATGTTCTATAGCTAATGCTATGGATTCAGGCTTTTGACAGTGTAATTCTTCAAGGATGAATGAAGAAGGTCACACTGTAATAAATATTTCAGAAAAGTAGCTACCAAATAGTATTAAGGGTAGTTGACTTAAAACAATAGGGGAGAAACTTATTTGGTAATCTTTTAAAAGTAATAAAGAAAGTAGAGTGTATTTTTAAAGTGATTAGTCTACTTTAAGGAAAGGACAACTCAAGATCCCAATTTAAGGACTTAGTATGTATAAAACAAAAACAGGAGTTATAATGGAAAAGAATGATTCATAAATCTGATTAACATAAAAATTTAAAAACAACTGATGTCATTGCTAAGAGAGAAATGTGTATCAAAACTACAATGAGGTATCATATCACACTTGTTAGGAAGGTCAACAACAAAAGTCTACATATAACAAATACTGGAGAGGCTGTGGAGAAAAGCAAACCCTCCTACATTGTTGCTGGATAGACAAACTGGTGCAGCTACTATGAAAAACAATATGCTGGTTCCTTAAAAAACTAGAGTTGCCATATGATCCTGAAATTACACTCTTGGGCATATATCTGGAGAAAACTCTAACTCAAAGAGATACATGCATCCCAATGTTCATAGCAACATTATTTACAAGAGCCAAGACATGGAAGCAACCTAAATGTCCCTGAAAGATGCCTGGATAAGGATGATGTGGTGTATGTATGTATACACACACACACACATACACACACTGGAATACAACCCAGCCATAAAAAAGAATAATGCCATTTGCAGCAGCAGGGATACACCTAGAGGCAATAATACTAAGTGAAGTAAGTCAGAAAGAGAAAGACAAATATATCATGATATTACTTATCTGTGTAATATAAAATATGATAAAAATGAATCTATGGAGAGGAATAAACCAGGAGTCTGGGATTAGCAGATACAAACTACTATATACAAAATAAGCAACCAGATCCTACTGTACACCACAGAGAACTATATTAAATATCCTGAAATAAACCATAATGGAATAGAATATGAAAAGAACATACATATATATAACTGAATCACTTTGCATTACACCAGGAACTAACACAACATTGTAAATCAACTATACTTCAATTAAAAATTGAAAAGAAAAAAACAAAAAGCACACCTAATTTCGAAAAAAGGACTTCCTGGGTAGCACAGCAGTAAGAATCTGCCAGCCAAGCAGGAGATGTGGGTTTGATCCCTGAGTCAAAAAGATCCCCTGGAAAATGAAACGGCAGGCCACTCCAGTATTCTTGCCTGAGAAATCCCATGGACAAAGAAGCCTGGCAGGCTACAGTTCATGGGGTCAAAAAAGAGTCGGACACAACTTAGTGACTAAACAACAACAAATATCAAAAAACCACCTCAACAAAATTAAAAGACAAAACAAATTGGAATGTTTACCTACATCAAATAGGATAAAGCACTAAAATTTTTAAGCAATAGAAAGCTGTTCATCATATACTGGGAAAAAGGGAAAAACCCAAGAAACAAACCCATCGTATGAACAAGAAGATAGCAGGGCAAAGGACACAAATAATTCACTAGAAGAAAACTATATGTGTTAAGAAAACAAATGACTTGTGAGATCAAAATAAATATGTAAAAACTAAATACACTAGAAACTGATAGAATTTTTCTGAAGGATAATTTAGCAATGTTTCATAAGCCTTAATGTATTTAGACACTTTGACTTAGTAATTCAACTTCTAGGACTTTTCTTAAACAGACAGAATTTTTAAAATTTATATTGCTATTTTAGTCAGTTCAGTTCAGTTGCTGAGTCGTGTCTGACTCTTTGACCCCATGGACTGCAGCCTGCCAGGCTTCCCTGTACATCACCACCTCCCGGAGCTTGCTCAAACTCTTGTCCATAGAGTCAGTGAGGCCATACAACCATCTCATCCTCTGTCATCCCCGTCTCCTGCCTTCAATCTTATCCAACATCAGGGTCTTTTCTAATGAGTAAGCTCTTTGCATCAGGTGGTCAAAGCACTGGAGCTTCAGCTTCATCATCAGTCCTTCCAGTGAATATTCAGGACTAATTTCCTCTAGGACTGACTGGTTTGATCTCCTTGCAGCCCAAGGGACTCTCAAGAGTCTTCTCCAATGCAATTAAAAAGCATCAATTCTTTGCCACTCAGTTTTCTTTATGGTCCAACTCTCACATCCATACATGACTACTGGAAAAACCACAGCTTTGACTAGACGGTCCTTTGTCAGCAAAGTAATGTCTCTGCTTTTTGATATGCTACCTAGTTTGTCATAGCTTTTCTTCCAAGGAGCAAGTGTCTTTTAAATTCATGGCTGTGGTCACCATCTGCAGTGATTTATAAACCCAGGAAAATAAAGTCTATCACTATTTCCATTGTTTCCCCATCTATTTGCCATGAAGTGATAGGACCGGATACCATGATCTTCATATTTTGAATGTTGAGTTTTAAGCCAGATTTTTCACTCTCCTTTCACTTTCATCAAGAGGCTCTTTAGTTCCTCTTTCTGCCATAAGGGTAATATCATCTGCGTATATGAGGTTATTGATATTTCTCCCGGCAATCTTGATTCCAGCTTATGTTTCATCCAGCCTGGCATTTTGCATGATATATTCTACATATAAGTTAAATAAACAGGGTGATAATACACAACCTTGATGTACTCCTTTTCCAATTTGGAACCAGTCTGTTGTTCCATGTTCAGTTCTAATTGTTGCTCCTTGACCTGCATACAGATTTCTCAGGGGGCAGGTATGGTGGTCTGGTATTCCCATCTCTTGAAGAATTTTCCACAGTATGTTGTGATCCACACGGTCAAAGGCTTTAGTGTAGACAATGAAGCACAGGTAGATGTTTTTCTGGAACTCTCTTGCTTTTTCTATGATCCAGTGGATGTTGGCAATTTGATCTCTGCTTCCTCTGCCTTTTCTAAATCCAGCTTGAACATCTGGAAGTTCTTGGTTCATGTACTGCTGAAGCCTCGCTTGGAGAACATTGAGCATTACTTTAATAGCATATGAGATGAGTGCAATTGTGCAGTAGTTTGAACATTCTTTGGCATTGCCTTTCTTTGGGATTGGAATGAAAATTGACCTTTTCCAGTCCTGTGCCCATGCTGAGTTTTCCAAATTTGCTGGCATATTCAGTGCAACAGTTTCACAGCATCATCTTTCAGGATTTGAAACAGCTTAGCTGGAATTCCATCACCTCCACTAGCTTTGTTCACAGTGATGCTTCCTAAGGCCCACTTGACTTCTCATTCCAGGGTGTCTGGCTCTAGGTGAGTGATCACACCACTGTGGTTATCTGGGTCATTAAGATCTTTTTTGTATAGTTCTTCTGTGTATTCTTGCCACCTCTTCTTAATATCTTCTGCTTCTGTTAGGTCCATATCGTTTCTGTCCTTTATTGTGCCCATCTTTGCATGAAATGTTCCTTTGGTATCTCTAATTTTCTTGAAGCGATTTCTAGTCTTTCTCATTCTATTGTTTTCCTCTATTTCTTTGCACTGATCACTGAAGAAGGCTTTCTTATCTCTCTCTGCTCGTCTTTGAAACTCTGCATTCAGATGGGTATATCTTTCCTTTTCTCCTTTGCCTTTAGTTTCTCTTCTTTTCCCAGCTATTTGTAAGGCTTCTTCAGACAACTATTTTGCCTTTTCGCATTTCTTTCTCTTGGGGATGGTCTTGATCACTGCCTCCTGTACAATGTCACAAACCTCTGTCCATATTTCTTCTATTTGCATGTAAATATTGCTATTTACATGTTGCAAAAAGATTACAAAAAACACCTAACTGTCCAATATTAAGGGAATACTTAATATTCCAGTATGTCAAAAATAGGTAGGAAGAATCCTAGATGAAGTACCTAGTTATGAGATTTAAACTAAAAAAAAAAAAAAAAAAATCACATGGTAAGGGAATTGCTCTATAAAATGGAAATGATTCAATATTTATAGACACATACCTTTTCATTAAGACAGTCAATTAAATTTTCCACATAAATTTTCATGCTCTTATAGAATTTAAAACTTAGAGCTTGATTTGATGAATTCTCTAGGTTCTGGATGGTAGTCTTTGAGCTCTTGATATCTTGTATGTACTTTTCATATTCTCTTAGATGTGAGCGGTGAGTATCCTGTAGTAATGTTAATCTAAATAAATAGAAAATAAACATAAAAATTGCTTTATATTACAAATTTATTTCTATTATAGTAAGTAGTAGTATAAATGAAAATTTTTTCAGAGCTACCTTATAAAGACCACCAAGGAAACTGACAATCATACAAACCTGGGTTCATAACATGTGTGGAGCAAAGGAAAACTCCACGATAAGAGAGGCTTCAAAGGGAAAGGTAGCATAGGACACGGAGAGATTTTTAGGTGCTACAGCTAATCTCAGGGTAGTCTTAGAGGAGAAAGTAGTGTGGCTCGATCAGAATAGGTAAACTAGGTGACCTTCTAGAATAATCGTGCCAAGTCTCTTCAGTCATGTCCAACTCTGTGACCCCATGGACTGTAGCCCGCCAGGCTCCTCTGTCCATGAGATTCTCCAGGCAACAGTACTGGAGTGGGATGCCATGCCCTCCTCCATATGTGTACTTACTTTATATAGGCAGTATCAGTCTTTCTTTTGCAATGTTTCAAAGGGTGGGGTATGTGTGGGGTCTGAGGTGGTCCAGTCTTCCAATCTTGATGAGCATCTCTGGACCTTTAATCTTTCCTCAGGTGGTTTCACTGCCTTCCATTTCTCTTCAAGCTGTTGTTCGGGACATCGCTCTTTTTTCACACTTTGGGTCTCCTGCTTTGAAGAGATATAAGGGAGCTGCACACAACCTAGGCTTCATTAGACAAGGCTATGTGAGTGCAGGATCTTAGTTGGTCCAGTCTCCTAATCTTGACAAGCTTCTCTGGACCTTTAATCTTGCCTCGGGTGGTTTCATTGCTGTTCCTCCTTTGTTTAGCAACTGTTCTGCCATTTGGAACTGAGAGAAGGTCATGGAAGCTAGAGTCTAGCCTATAATAAATGAGGGACCAAAAAAAAGGCCTCAATACCTAGAAGCTCGACAGGGCCCCGCTAGGCTCAACACCTCCTTTTCTTTGATATGCCTCAATCTTGAGGACCTTGAATTCTTTCCATTTCTCTTCAAGCTGCTGCTCAGGACACTGCTCTTTTTCACACTTTCAGGAGCATCGGGTCTCCTGCTTTGAAGAGATGTAAGGGAGCTTCCAGGCAAGGCGGAGACCTTGTCCCATTTCAGGTGAGTTTTCCAGCACAGCTTCACAAGTGATGTCTTAATAATGTCCTTGTTGTTATTGTTGTTCAGTCGCTCAGTCATGTCCGACTCTTTGCAACCCCATGGACTGCAGCACTCCAGACTTCCCTGGCCTTCACCATCTCCTGGATCTTGTTCTAACTCACGTCTATTGAACTGGTGATGCCATCCAACCATCTTATCCTCTGTCGTCCCCTTCTCCTGCCTTCAATCTTTCCCAGCATCAGGGTCTTTTCCAATGATTTGGATCTTTGCATCAGGTAGCCAAAGTATTGCAGCTTCAGCTTCAACATCAGACCTTCCAATGAATATTCAGGATTGATTTCCTTTAGGATTGATTGATCTCCGTGCAGTCCAAGGGACTCTCAAGAGTCTTCTCCAACATCACAGTTCAAAAGCAATCAATTCTTCAGTGCTCAGCCTTCTCTATGGTCCAACTCTCACATCCACACATGACTATTGGAAAAAACCATAGCTTTGACTAGATGGACCCTGGTTGGCAAAGTAATGTCTTTGCTTTTTAATATGCTGTCTAGGCTGGTCATAGCTTTTCTTCTTCATGGCTGCAGTCACCATCTGCAGTGATTTTGGAGCCCAAGAAAATAAAGTCTCTCAATGTTTCCACTGTTTCCCCATCTATTTGCCATGAAGAGATGGGACCAGATGTCATAATCTTCATTTTTTGAATGTTGAGTTTTAAGCCAGATTTTTCACTCTCCTCTTTCACTTTCATCAAGAGGCTCTTTAGTTCCTCTTCATTTTCTGCCATAAGGGTGGTGTCATCTGCCTATCAGAGGTTATTGATATTTCTCCCGGCAATTCTAATTCCAGCTTGTGTTTCATCCAGTACAGCATTGTGCATGATGTGCTCTGCATATAAGTTAAATAAACAGGGTGACAATATACAGCCTTGATGTACTTCTTTCCCAACTTAGAACCAATCTGTTGTTCCATGTCCAGTTCTAACTGTTGCTTCTTCACTTATATACAGATTTCTCAGGAAGCAGATCAGGTGGTCTGGTAATCCCATCTGTTAATGAATTTTCAAGTTTGTTGTGATCCACACAGTCAAAGGCTTTACTGTACTCAATGAAGCAGAAGTAGGTATTTTTCTGGAACTCTCTTGCTTTTTCTATGACCCAGTGGATGTTGGCAATTTGATCTCTGATTCCTCTGCCTTTTCTAAATCCAACTTGAACATTTGGGAGTCCTCAGTTCATGTACTGTTGAAGCCTCACTTAGAGAATATTGACCATTACTTTGCTTGCGTGTGAGATGAGTGCAATTTGGTGGTAGTTTGAACATTCAACCTTAATCATATCCTTAAGAAGGGTTTTTGTCATTTCTGATGCTTCAGTGGTCTTATATTTGAAACCTAAGAGTCCATGTGGAATTACTGTTAGATCAGTCTGTGGTCTTCCTTAGAATATAGGTATCAGTTAGTGTTAGTCACTCAGTCGTGTCCGACTCTTTGGGACCCCATGGACTGTGGCCTCTGTCCATGGAATTCTCTAAGCAAAAATACTGGAGTGGGTAGCCACTGCCTTCTTCAGGGGATCTTCCCAACCCAGGAGCTGGAATTAAAGCCATTTGAGCATGCTATGATTTGGTATGAGTTTTTTGTTTTGTGACCTATTTTGACACTGTGATTACATCAGAATTAGAGAATTACCTACCAATGAAATAAATTTGTAGTATTTGGACCTGAATCAAACAATTGAAAAAATTAAACTTTTGCCAATCTCCTGCTTTCCAAAAGTCTACAAGCAATAAATGCTGGAGAGGGTGTGGAGAAAAGGGAACCCTCTTACACTGTTGGTGGGAATGCAAATTAGTACAGCCACTCATTTCAATGTATGACAAAAACCACTGCAATGATGTAAAGTAATTAGCCTCCAACTAATAAAAATAAATGGAAAAAAAAAAAAAACTTTTGCCAATCTCCTTATGGGCTTCCCTGGTGGCTCAGTGGTACAGAATCCGCCTGCCGATACAGGAGATACAGGTTCGATCTCCAGGCAAGATCCCCTGGAGATGGAAATGGCAGTGCATCCCAGTATTCTTGCCTTGCAAATCCCATGGACAGAGAAGCCTGGCACATCAGGCTTAGCTGCCCTATGACATGTGTAATCTTCCCAGACCAGGGATTGAATCTGTGTCCCCTACATTGGCAAGGTGTACTCTTAACCACTGGACCACCTGGGAACTCCAAGAAATAACTATTTATAGCAATAGATAATGGTTAGCTACGCTTTAGAAATGTATTTGTACCAAGAACCTTGAACAAAATGTTCATTATCTGTAGCATTATTTATAATAGACAAATTTAGAAACCAAAACGTCTAACATAGAAATGCAATATACCAACTATATGGATAAACAAAACATTACTATATGCTTATAATTTTTTACTGTAGTAAAAAGCACGTAACTTACAATCTTAACCATTTTAAAGTACATTACAGTAGTATTAACTATAGGCACACTGCTGTATAACAGATCTTTAGAACGTTTTCATCTTGCAGAACTGAAACTCTATACTCACTGATCAACAACTTTCCATTCGACTCCCCTCCACATGGGGCAACCACCATTCTACTTTTAGTTTCTAAGAGTCTGACTACTTTGCTTGTGTGCTTAGTTGCTGAGTCCTGTCTGACTCTTTGTGAACCCACTGACTATAGCCTGCCAGGCCCTTATGTCCATGGAATTTTCTAGGCAAGAATACTTGTGTGGGTTGCCATTTCCTACTCTAGGAGATCTTCCTGATCCAGGGATTGAACTGGGGTCTCTTGCACCTCCTGAACTGGAATGTGGATTCCTCACCACTGCAACACATCATACAGAGCTTCCCAAGTGGCTCAAGCAGTAACAAATCCACCTGCCAATAAAGGAACTGCAGGAGATGTGGGTTCAGTCCTTGGGTTGAGAAGATCCCTAGAGTGAGGTTATGTTCTGTAATTCTCTAATTATTAGTGATGTTGAGCATCTCTTCATGTTCCTTCACCACTTGTATGTCTTCGAGAAAGGTTTATTCCAATCCTTTGACCATCTTTCTGCTGGGTAGTTTGTTGCTGAATTATATGAGCTACTTACATATTTTGGGTATTAACCACTTATCATATATACGGTTTGCAAATATATTCTCTTATTCTGTTGGCTGCCTTTTCACTCTGTTTATTATTTCCATGCTGTGCAGAAACTAGTTTCATATAGTTCCAACTGTCTATTTTTGCTTTTATTGCTTGTGTTTTTTCTTTCTTGGGTCCTTTGAGATTCCATATATATTGGTGTTGGAGAACACTCTTGAGAGTCCCTAGGACTGCAAGGAGATCCAACCAGTCCATCCTAAAGAAAATCAGTCCTGAATACTCTCTGGAAGGACTGATGCTGAAGCTGAAACTCTAATACTCTGGCCACCTCATTCAAAGAACCAACTCATAGGAAAAGACCCTGATGCTGAGAAAGACTGAAGGCAGGAGGAGAAGGGGACAACAGAGGATGAGATGGTTGGATGGCATCACAGACTCAATGGACATGAGTTTGAGTAGGCTCTGGGAGTTAGTAATGGACAGGGAAGACTGGAGTGCTGCAGACCATGGGGTTGCAAAGAGTTGGACACGACTGAGCAGCTGAACTGAACTGAATGTATTTTAGGATTTTTTTTCCCTATTTCTGCAAAAAATGCCATTGGGATTTTGATAGAGAATGCATTACATCTATAGATTGCTTTGGGTAATATGGACATTTTAACTATATTAAAATTTCTAAACCATGATCATGGATATCTTTCCATTAATTTATGTCTTCAATTTCTTTCAGCAATATTTTGTAATTTCTGGTTAATAAAACTTTCACCCCTTGACTAATTCCTAAGTTATATTCTTTTTGATGCTATTGTAAATGTTTTCTAAATATATATTTTTGGATTTTTCATTGTTAGTGCACAGAAACAACTGATTTTCATCCTGCAATTTTGCTAGATTTATTAGCTCTAGCAGGGTTTGTGTTTGTTTCTTTGTGTTAAATGCAGTCTTCAGGTTTTCCCATGTGTAAGATCATGTCAACTGTGAACAGAGATAATTTTACTTCTTTCTCTCCTATTTTGATGTCTTTTTATCTTTATTCTCACCTGAATTCTCTGGCTAGGGCTTTCAATACCTTGTTGAATAACACAGACAAGAATAGACATCCTTGCCTTGTTCCTGACCCTACAGGGAAAGCTTTCAGTTTTCCATGACTAAATATGATATTAGCTGTCCATTACTCCTATATGGTCTTTATTATGTTGAAGTAGTAACAATTTCTCACAAAAGCATGCTTAACATCATCAAAGGCTTTTCCTGTACCAGCTGAAATGATTGTGTGGTTTTCACCATTCATTCTGTTTATATAGTGTATCACACTGATTTTCTCATGAAACACCGTAATAATTCCAGGAATAAATCTCACTTGGTCATGGCATATAATCCTTTTAACTTACATTTGCAAGTATTTCATTGTGGATTTTTACATCAATACTCATCAAGGATACTGGTTTACTAATTTCCTTTTCTTACGCTATCTTTGGGATTTTGGGGATCAGGGTAATGCTGACCTCAGAGAATGAGCTTGGGAATGTTATCTCCTCTTCAGTTTTTTGGAAGAGTTTGAGAAGGAACGGTGTTAATTCATTATTAAATGTTTGGCAGAATTAGGCAGTGAGGCCATCTCACACCTATATGTGTATATAACTGCTATACTGTCCCAATGAATTGATCCTTTTATATTATACAATGGCTTTCATAGTCTCTTGTAGTTTTTAACTTAAAATCCTTTTCTCTAAGTAATGCCACTCCTGCTCTCTTTTGTTTACTGTTTGCATGGAATCTTTCTGCAAGACGTTCACTTTCATTCCATATACATCCTTAAGTCTAAGTGAGACTCTTGCACATGGTATACAGTTTTATCTTGCCTTTTTTTTTTTTTTTTTGGCTTGGGTGGCTTGTGGGATATTAATTTCCTGACCAAGGACTGAACCTGGGCCCTAACCACTAGACTGCCAGGGAATTACTGGATCTTGCTTTTCTTTTCAACCCATTCAGCCACTGTACATCTTTTGATTCTAGAATTTAATCCATTTATATTTAAAGTAATTACTGATATGGAAGGACTGATGATTACCATTTTAAAATTGCTTTTTGTCTTATAGTTATTTTGTCCCTCTTCCTCTCTTGTTGCCTTGGGCTTTGTTATTTTATTTTTTTAGGGATGTGTTCTGGGTCATTTCCATTTTCCACTGCATATCTTCTATAGGTATTTCTTTTATGCTTACCATGGGGTTTACAAAAAATATTGCAATTCCAGTAATCTCTTTTAAACTGAAAACAACTTCAATCTCATATGAAAACTTTATTCCTTTACATCTCCCCTGCCACCTCCTGTTATTGATACCACAAATTACATTAAAATTTTTATATGCATTAACATAATATCATAATTATTTTTGTGTTTTTACCTTCTAAATTCAATTTCTGAATTGAAAGTGATTGTCATACCACTCTTACAGTATTACAGGATTCTGCACTACACATCATACATTTACCTTTACCAGAGAACTCTGTATTTTTATATGCCTCATGCTACTGTACAGTGTCCTTTCATTCAACTTGAAGGATATCTTTCCTCAATTTTTGTAAGGCAGGTTTAGTGGTGATGAACTCCCTCAGCTTTGTTTATCTGAGGTCTTTACTTCTCCTTCATGAAGGACAGTTTTGCTAGACACAGTAATCTCTGTTGGCAGTTTCCTTCTTTCAGTACTTTGGATATATCTTCCTACTCTCTTCTGGTCTGTTAACAGAGAAGACCTTTGTTGAGATGCCTCCTGGTAATGTTATGGGACTCCTTGGACATGACAAGGTTCTTTTGTTTTGTCACTTAATTCTTTCTTTGTATCTAGAAAGTCTGTCTCAGTGTAAGCCTCCTTGGGTTAATCCTTGTTGGAGTCCTTTAGCTTTTGAAATTGAATGCCCATTTCCTTCTTCAGGCTGGTAAGTCTTTGGTCATTATATCTTCAGATAAGCTCTCTGTCCCATTCTGCTCTCTTCTCCTTCTTGGATTCCCATAAAGTATATGATATTCTGCTCGATAGCGTCGTGTAAATCCCTTATGTTTTTTTTTTCACTTTTCTTCATTCTTTTTTCCTTTTTGTTACTCTAACTTGGTAATTTCAAATGACTATTCTTTGAGGTCATCACTTGTTTCTTCTGCTTGATAGAGTCTGCTTTGGATCCCCTTTAGTAAATTTTTCAGTTCAGTTATTGTATTTTAAGCTCCAGAACCTCTGGTTCTTTTACAGTTTCCATCTCTGTTGTTATTCCAACCTTGTTCATGTATCATCTCCCTGATTTCTTTAGTTGTCTGTGCTCTCTTATGGCATATTAAGCTTCTTTAAGAGGATCATTCTGAATTCTCTGTCAGGTAATTCATAGGCCTCTGTTTCTTTTGGTTCTGGAAATTAATTTTGATCCTCTAACTGGGTCAGGTTTCCTTGCTTCTTCACATGTCTGGTTATCTTTATGTTGTACTTTTTGTATTTGAAAATGCACATAAGGGCAGTTTCTCCTCTATTTGAAGCTGTATCCCTTAAGTGCATTTCAATTAGTCTGGATAAGGATTCCCAGTGGTGTAGTATGGGGAAGACTGTCTTCTCAAACCTTTCATGGGGGATGATTCTCCTCAGAGTTTCTAGAGATTTCCCAATTAGAGACATTTGTGGGTTTTCCAGGATTTTATGGTCTCTTGGTCCCCCTGGTGTTTGTAGTACTGAAAGCTTTCTGGCTCTGCAACAGGCTGCTTAGCTCGTTCTTGTCCTCTGTGGCCCTCAGGAATGTAATGTATGATGGTTCTCCAACAGTGCTCTGAGAGAGATAAGAGAGAGACAGAGACAAATCCTTTGGGCAGTACCTCTAGAATACAGAATATATGCTCTGCTCTTTCCCTTCCGAAGGAAAAGCTAGGAGTCAGGTTTTTTTCTCTCCATTGAAAGCGGTGCTGGCTTGCTAGAGTGGCTAGATGCAGTTGGAATGAAATGGCTTTTCTCACCCATTACAATGTGGCGAATCTGGGCTTTGAGCTTCCCTGGGATACCACAACTTCCTGATTTCTGGGGTACTCATAAACGCTTTTTGGATAGTACGCTGTTGTTCAGTTGATATCTCTGTGGGGCAACGAGGTCTGGGGTTTCTAATTCTGCCATCTTGCTGCCGTAACTTCCAGCATACAATTTTTTAAAATTTGAGGGCTATTTAACAATGTAGATAAATGCAGATTAAAAATAGTAAGTTAAAAAAAGCAGGAGTTGATATTATTTATTGATTTTAACTACATGATATATCTATTATAAACACTGAAAGACATACAAAAAAGGATCAGTTATGTTAGTGTAGTAACACAGGTGATGCTAATTTTTCCTGTAACCCTTTAATATTATCATTTAATAATTAATAAAATATATACTTATATTTACGGCTGTGTCAGGTCTTAGCTGTGGCTCACAGGCTCAGTAGTTGCCCTGCATGTGGGATCTTAGTTCCCTGACCAGGGACTGAACCCAAGTCCCCTGTACTGCAAGGCAGATTTTTAACCACTGGACCACCAAGGGACGTCTCAATTAAAAATATTATAGTGCTAATTTTTTCACTACTAAATGTCTATAACAACTGTAAATTTTGAAGTTAATATTACTTACCTAGTATTTAGTTGCTTCTTTATAATTTCTAAACTTACTGGTGGAAATGAAACGGAAGCATCAAACTTCTTCACTGTTTGAGATTCACGGCTATAAGAAAGATCTATGTCTTGTCCCTAAAAATAATATGAAAATTTGTGTTGTTTTCAACATTCATTAGTCCTCCAAATATTAATACCGTGAAAGCAGACTGGATACACTAAGGTCTCACCAGCTTAAAATTCCATGCCTCTGACATTTTTTATGGTTGTAATAAAATGTTTTTTAAATTATCACACAGTTTTAAAATTTAGAACTTTAAACTTACATGCAAGAGGCAAAATACAAAATCTCATTTTCCACAAAAGCTTGGTTTTCATTGTTTTTAAAGCTAGTTCTATTTATGATCTAATATACTCTCAAAAAAACAAATACCAGAGGCTTCAATCAAGATGGCAAAATAGAAATATAAGTAAAATGAAGACACAGAAGAACGACTCTCAATTAAAAGATCAAGAGAATTGCCTTAAAAGAACAATCACTGAAACAGACCTCTCCAGTCTAATAAACACTGATTTCAAAAAGGAGATAATATAAATACTGAAGGAATTAAGAAAGGAATGAAGAAAGTCTGTATTTCAGCTGAAATACAGACTACTCTAAAAAGGAACTAGAAACTAGAAAGAGGAGCCGAGAAAAATTAGAAAACTCACTTGCCAAGATGAAAGCTGAGCTAAAGGCAATATAAATAGAAAATGAATAATGCAGAACACATAAGTGTTCTGGAAGATGGAATAATGGAAATCACCCAATCAGAGCAGCAGACAGAAAACCAAATGAAAAAAATGAAAGCAATGTGAGAATTATGGGATAATATAAAGAATGCCAATCTATGCATAACTGGAAAAAGGAAGAAAGGGAAAAGGGGATAGAAAATACATTTCAAGAAATTATGGCTGAAAACTTCCCAAACTTAAACAAGGAAAGAGATATCTAAGTACAGGAAGCACAGTAGTCACTTCAGTCATGTCCGATTCTTTGGAACCCCACAAAATGTAGCCTGCCAGGCTCCTCTGTCCATGGAATTCTCCAGGCAAGAACACTGGGGTGGGTCACCATGTCCTCCTCCAAGGAATCTTCCTAACCCAGGGATCGAACCTGCATCTCCTGCATTGCAGACAGATTCTTTACCCACTGAGCCACCTGGGAAGCCCATAAGAAGCACATGGTCTCAAACTAGATGAACTCAAGCAGACATACACCAAGATATATTACCATTAAAGTGGCAAAAGTTAAAGATAAAGATAGGATTCTAAAGGCTGCTTGAGAAAAACAAAGAGTTAATTACAAGGGAACCCTCATAAGGCTATTAACTGATTTCTCTATAGAAAATGTTGCAGGCTAGAAGGGAGTGGCAAAATATATTCAAAGTCCAGAAAGGAAAAAAATATGCAACATAGCATACTCTACACATCAAGATTATCATTGAGAATAGGAGAGAGAGAATTTCTCAGAAGAGAAAAAACTAAAAGAATAACAGCAATATTAATCTATCCTAGCAAAGAAGCAAAAATCTATAGAAAAGAAAAAAAAGAGAAAATCCAAAATGGAATGGAAATCACTTAAATGAGCCAGTATACATATTAAATTAAATTTCACAAAGACATTTTTTATGAAAGCAATGATAAACAAAATGAACAGCAAAAGCATAAACATGAAGATGTAAAAGAGGACATCAAAATCATAAAATGCCAAGTTGGAAAGTAAAAATACATAGATTTTTAAATTTTAGAATGTGTTTGAGGACGTATGACTATCAGCCTAAAGGAAGTAGATATAGTAATGGGTTAACATACTTGAAAACAGTGTGGGTAACCACAAGTTGGGCTTCCCTTGTAGCTCAGCTGGTAAAGAATCTGCCTGCAATGCGGGAGACCTTGGTTCGATCCCTGGGTTGGGAAGATCCCCTGGAAAAGAGATAGGCTACCCAGTCCAGTATTCTGGCCTGGAGAATTCCACAGACTGTATAGTCCATGGGTCACAAAGAGTCGGACATGACTGAGTGTGAAACCACAAATTAAAACATACAACAGAGTCACAAAAATCAATTAAGAAGAGAACACAAGCATAATACAATAGAAATCATCAAACCATAAAAGGAAAAAAATAATAAAGAAGAAATAAAAAATCAACTGGAAAATAAGGATAAAAATGGCAATAAATATGTATCTATTAATAATCACCATAACTGCCAATGGACTAAATGCTGCAATCAGAAGACAATGAGTGGCAGACTGGATTAAAAAACAAGAGCCCACAATATGCTACCTACAAGAGGCCCACTTTAGGGTGAACAACACACAGACTGAAAGTGAGCGGATGGATAAAGATATTTCATGCAAACAGAAATGATAATAAGAAAGCATGGGTAGCAGTAATGGACTTGAAAACAAAGGTCATAAAGAAAGATAAAAAAGGACACTATATAATGAAAGAATCAACATAAGAAGAGTATATTACATTCAACATATATGCACCCAATATAGGAGCATCCGATTACACAGAACAAATACAGACTAAAGGGAGAAATGGACAGGAATACAATAGTAAGAGATTTTAATAACCTACTCATATCAATGGACAGGTCTTCTAGGCAGAAAATCAATAAGGCAACAGAAATCCTAAATGATACACTAGAACATTTAGACTTAACTGATATTTTCAGGACATTATATAAAAAAAAAAACCCAATATACATTCAAGTGCACATGGAACATTCTCTGTGGTTGACCACATACTGGGGCACAAAAGAAGCCTTAACAAATTTAAGAGTACAGAAATTTTTGAAGCAGCTTTTCTGACCACAACAGCATGAAACTGAAATTAACCACAGAAATAGAAATGACAAAACAAACAAAAAACTTGATTACCTGGAGCCTAAAGAACTTGCCTCAAAAACAAAAAACAAAAAAAACCCAATGGGTCAATGATGAAAGCAAAGAAGAAATTAAAAAATACCTTGAGAAAAATTACAATGAAAAGATAACCATATAATAATCTGTAGGATGCAGTAAAAGCAGTTCTTAGAGGGCACTTCATAGTGATATAGGCCTTCCTCAAGAATTAGAAAAAGGAGAAAAAACAAAACTCAAAATCAGAAGAAGGAAGAAAATAATAATGATCAGAGAGGAAATAAAGTAGGGACTAAAAATAATAGAAATCAATAAAAACAAGGGCTGTTTCTTTGAAAGAATAAATAAGATTGACAAACCTCTAGCCAGTCTCACCAAGAAGAAAAGAGAGAGGAAATTACATAAGCAAAGTGAGATATGAAAGAGGAGAAATCACAACTGATATTGCAGAAATACAAAAAAACTATAAGAAAACACTATGAACAATTATATACTGACAAACTGAACAACCTGGAAGAAATGAACAAATTTCTACAAACATAACAGGTCACCAGAATTGAATCAAGAAGAAACAACATACTTTGAAAAGACCAATCACTTGAAGTGAAACAGAATGTGCAATTAAAAAAAACAAAACCTCCCTACAAACAAAAGCCCAGGACCTAACAGCTCCCCAGGCAAATTCTATCAGACATACAAAAAAAGAATTCATACTGATCCCTCTCAAAATCTTCCAAAAGACTATAAAGGAGGGAGCACTCCCACGGACATTCTATGAAGGCATTATTACCCTGATGCCAAAACCAGATAAAGATACTATAAAAAAAGAAAATTACAGGCCAGTATCTTTGATGAATATAGATGCAAAAAGTCCTAATAAAATACTAGCAGCCTGAATCTAACAACACATAGAAAAGATCATAAACTATGACCAAGTTGGATTCATCCCAGGATCACAGTGATGGCTCAACATGCATAAAACAATCAATGAATGTGATTAACCACATCTGACACAGAAAAGACAAAATTACATGATCTTCTCAATAGATGTAGGAAAAGCATTTAACAAAATTCAACATTCATGATACAAACTCTTAAGAAACTGGGTACAGAGGGAACATACTACAAGGTAATAAAAGTTACAAACCTACAGCCAACATAATACTCAGCAGTGAAAAATGGAAAGCTTTCCTGGTAAAATCTAAATCAAGACAAGGATGCCCACTCTCACCTCTTCTATTCAACACAGTACTGGAAGTACTAGCCACAGCAAATAGACCAAAAAAAGAAATAGAAGGTATCTAGACTGGAACTGAAGAGGAAAAATTGTCATTTGAAAATGTAACATGATACATAGAAAACCATAACAACCCACACAAAAACTATCAGAACTGCTAAACAAATTCATGAACTAGCTAGGATACAAGATTAACACACAGAAATTGGTTGCATTTTTTTTTTACACTAACAAGGAACTATCAGAAAGAGAAAGAATAAAAATAATCCCTTTTAAAATCACATAAAAAATACTTAGAAATAAACCTCACCAAGGAGGTAAAAGACTTATGTGCTGGGAACTACAAAACATTAGTAAAGGAAAGTGAAGATGATTTAAAGAAATGGAAGACATCCCATGCTGTTGAGTTGGAAGAACTAACGTTGTTAAAATGTCCATACTACTCAAAGCAATCTATACATTTAATGTGATCCCTATCAAATTACCTGTAACATTTTTCACAAAACTAGAACAAATAAACCATATGAAACCACAGAATTGCCAAAGCAATCCTGAGGAAAACAAGCAAAGCTATACGCATGACCCTCCTAAACTTCAGACAATCCTATAAAACTATAGTAATTAAAACAGTGTGATACTGGCACAAAAACAGACATGTGGATCAATGTTAAAAAAACTAAGAAATAAATCCACACAACTATGGCCAATTGGTCTTCGACAAAGGAGGCAAGAACGCAACAATGGAGGAAAGAATTTATTCCACAAGTGGTGTTGGAAAAGTTGGACAGCCACATGTAATTTAACAAAGTAAGAACATACCCTTACTCCATACACAAAAAATAAATTCTAAATGGTTTAGAGATGTAAATGTAAAACATGACATCAGAAAACTCTTGGAAGAGAACATAGGCAAAACATTGTCTGACATAAATTATACAGATATTTTCTTACATCAAAGCAAATTAGAAATAGAAGCAAAAATAAATAT